TGGAGACTGATGTTTCTCTGGCGTTGACTTTTCATTGTATTTTATTGCTTGACAGTTGTATATTCCTGTTGTGAGTAAACATACTCACTCACTCACTCACGCACGCACTGCAGGGTTACTGGTTACCAAATCAGCAAACATTGAATATGTGTGTAATACAATTCTCGTCACTTGAATGATTGCTTATCTTACACATGTTCGTCATTGACTTTTCCATCATCACAACACGGAATGATTTGATTCATGAATAAATTGTTTATGACTTACCATGCACATTGTACGTATGAATTAAAGCATTACTATCGGAATATATCATAATGTTTTGTCTTTTGTCCGAAGTGCATGTATAATGTATGAAGTGTATTTTTGTCTTTGAAAACAATCTTCCCGAGGCAAGGGAGTTAACTGACTATAAAAGTCCAGTTTCCACTCTTGCCGAACTAGGCTGGAATTTCTGGGCTCGATCGTAGCGCCACCACTGACTAATACGAGTTATGTCCCTTCTATGTCCCTCTTATTGACCAATCAGATTCCACCGCTCATATCACTTGCATGCGCGCCCAGTGAAGACGATCTGGGTCTTACTCCGCAAAATGCATCAAATTACGTGAGCACCTCGATGTATAACATGAACAGATCTGGAAAATGTCTTTTAACGCTACGTTGACGGTACACGTGCTTTGCTAATCCTGCAATCGGCCGTAAAATGCACGGCAGTTTACGAACCGGATGTCGATTTCGTTACGCGATTTTGATTGGACTATGCATAGACTCGTTAGTCCAGCCAAAATATAACTCCATAATTCCAGTCTAGTTGGGCAAGGGTGGAAACTGTCAGTAAACGTCCTTGCCTCGGGAATTTGTATAAAACAACCATCAATGGTAACATACGGAATACTTGTCACACTCGGGTAACATCAACAAACCAAAACAAAAGAGTATATATATATATATTTTTTATTTTTAGGATGTTTGAACATAAATCCTGGTGTGCTCTTTGTTTAATTCGCGTACCGACGAAAGAAGTCCGCTTGTGGGCGTGGCCTATTTTTTATGTTTATGGATACATACACGCAATAAAGTGCTTGGCTAGGCAATCACATTCCACGTAATCCATGTGTGTATTTTATACAATGGAAACCAGACGAATGAAATTCAAGTGATCGTCTACATGTAAGCAGTACATACCAGTGGGAACGAGGTTGTGGCTGAGGTATCGAACCCGGGTCTTCGGCGTGACGAACGAACACTCTAACCACTAGGCGACTCTATCACTCCACTTGTTCATACGCACATTGGTTCTCATTACATAATGTACAACGCCTTTTACACTGTATTTCACTACATCGTCCTCGTGTGAAAAGAATTATATTGGAAGATGAAATTCTGAAACTGAATATATTACGCTGTACAATGTACGTAATGTATCGGTAGGGCCACGAGTGAGTGAGTGAGTGAGTTGGGTTTAACGCCGCTTTTAACAGTATTCCAGTTATATCGCAGCGTGTCAGCTTAATGTGGGAGGAAAGCCCGAAGTGATGCAGGTCTCAGACGTTTACCACTTCGGTGAAACCCACGAGCTTGGGTATGGTGCTCACAAACCTAGAAACATAATCGGGGCGAACCGGGATTTGAACCCACAATCATAGGTTTCTGGCGTGCCCAAGGGACGCAACTCTGCACAGCGAATCGCGGCGCCTCAGACGACTGGGCTACCCGTGCCCCCGGTAGGGCCGAGAGAAACCAGTGTCGTATCGTTGGTGTGTTATAACATGTGACGTGTCCGATGGCGAAACTAACTATTTGATCTGAGTTGTCTAATTTATCATAACCAAATTTGTTTTTTATAACCTTATGTAAAAAATATCCTTTAGAAACCCACCCCACCGTTTCCTGTGAGAACACTATGTTGTGAGTCTGATGTACGTTAACCCTCTCCCTGCGCCTTTCCCACGAGCACATCACTTTTTAGGAGACAGCGAAATGCTTGTTCCGGGGCAAATATACAACTTGTATAGGATCTGCTCGAGAATATATATTTATCACCTTAATATCATTTGACGAATAAAAATGATTTTAGATTATTAATTGATATTAGATATGTATAGAATAACATGCTGAAAAAAATACTAATATCCAAACTCTTAAACAGATTATCTTATATTCATCATGTTAATGAATATCCACAATTTAATGTTAAGTCCGCAGAATGTATTTCGTGTCGATGGTATAGACATGCGTCTCATCATGTTACGCCAGCATAGAAGTCGCTGGTAGCAAAAGGGGAAGTTCGTCATTGACAAGTGGCGTTTAACTAACAATTCAGTAAGTTAATTCCCGGTTTTAAACACAGGAGCCATGGTTTAAAGGCTTCTATCTGATGCTGAATCCGATACAAGATGAGCATGTCAGATAAAGCTATCCGTCTAGGCGTGGCGCGGACAATGGTAAATCGACGAAATAAGACCATTGCATTTTCATGTTTTGAGATATCTAACAATAGCAATAAGAGACATATTAACATTATTTTGTGATGATTTGCAGAAAGTTAAGACCGCTTCATGGGCTGCAAGGGCGTAGTGTTTGTACGCACCCGCGGCGCGAAGTTGAAAACTGACTCTACTCCTGGGTAGAAAACAAACATGGCGTCGTCAATTTGATCGTCTGGTTCCACATGTCGAGGACACAAACGTCTCAGCTAACAGCGCAGATTGCGTCCTCGACCTGTGCCGACTGCGATGGAAAACACAGATCAAGAGAAGGGTGTATGAACGTACATGTGGCGACAGCAGACGGCGGAGTGGGTCACTTTGATTCACGTCTCTTCTTGAACTTGTACATTCCTGGAAACGTCCCCGCCGTCACGACGTGGCGCTGTGACGACTTTGAAGGTCGTGGGAACGACGACACGGTGGAATCGGACGAAAGATAATGCTGATATAAATCGATGAAGTATTCTTGGAATTTTCACAAAGGATTTCAACTCAATGCCATCCCACACAAGTCTGACTGTTAAAGACGTTGTTGCCCCTTACACAATTGCGGCAATGGTTAACGCTTAACGTACACCAGTACGTAATAATAACTATATCTAGGTGGAAGGACGTAGGTACTATCGGGTAAGGGGTAATGGGGTGGCCTAGTGGTTAACACGTCTCGACGAAGACCCGGGTTCGATTCCCCACATGGGTACAATATGTGAAGCCCATTTTTAATGTCCCCGCTGTGATTTGGCTGGAATATTGCTAAAATCTGCATGCAAAAAACTAACTCAATGGAAAGGAGGCCTTTGATAATAGAGATGGATAGACAGTGTACACATTAACCACAATCGTCAGAGATTAAAGATAGAATAAACGACGTTTACCACGAGCAACATTGTCATACAAACATAATTCGCTTCAGAAGATTATTTTCAAAATGACCAATATAACGGGTTTCATTATTTCTCAGTAGAAAAAGGACTTGAGGTTGCCAAACAATTTATTTTGGTAAAACCTGATCGCAGGCCCTCCCGAGGCAGCCAAAATTCGCTGTTGCGTACCAGGATCCGCTGATCTTGGATTCGATTCCCAGAATCTTCCTGAATACGGTACTTGATTCGTCAGAACCATCCCCGTGCTCACTAAAAATTGCTCTCCTCCGCCTTGAAGCCGATACCCGTGATATGACTTAAACATACTATTTAATGACCAACTCATTCGATAATGAAGATTTCAGATCCCTAAGTGTTATTTAGTTGGTTACATTTCTTTTATTACACGCTTAAAATAAATTGTCCCACTTGTATTGTCGATTCGATTAGAAATGCAATCCATTTTTACCTTTTAACAGTGCACAGATGACCTTATGAAACGCTAACAGCCTGTTACCTACGCAATCCAATTGTCCTGAAACAGCTACCTCTGGCGTTTATACGTAAATACGGAATCTTGCGTGTGCAATCACTTCCCGATCAGCTGACAGCTGTGATGCCCTGTTGACATGGTTGTATTGTGTGGAGTTCCCCTACTGTGGGCGCCCCTTAGGCGTACCGGAAAACTGTTATCGTGGGTTCGAATCCTAGTTTCACCCTGGTTTTGTTGCCAGCACGATATTCAGGCTTGTTTGTTTGCATAAAAGTGGTGAATGTCTAAAACGTACACTACTTTCCCCCGTTATCAAGCTGACACGCTGTGATATAACTGAGATTCTATTTAAAGTGGCGTTAAATCCAACTCACTCACACTTTAACCCGTAATAAACATCATGTTCATGTGGATATGTTGGCCAGTCAGCGATTCTGGGGAATTTTACGTAAGCTTCTGACAACTATACAAGTATAAGGTATCACACGTAGAGCGAGGTGAGGGAAACGTAACAATTAACCCGCTCACACAACGCTCAAGGTCCACGATCTGCACATGAGATATTGAGATATTATATTCACATTATTACATCAATAAATCAATAAAGACATACTCCATAAGTCAATGACCAGGTGAGGTAATATTAATTAATTAACATGGGTGTTTTGATCACAATAGGTACGTTCACCTGTAATTACCGTATTCGACGTAATAAGCGCCCAGGGCGCTCTCAAAATTAGAAATAGGGGCTCTTATTAGAATATTATTTTGTCGGAAGAGTTGAAGGATAAAGTTTGTGGTTTATACTGACAGCCTGAAATGTTTATATACAAGAGATATATTTTACCAGAATTTAATTGCCCATAATTAAGGGTGCATATAACACTCGAGTGTGTATTATACGCGAATAAATATGTATTGTGTACATTGATCAATCGGAAAGGGTGCTAATTGGGATTGTTCACTAGCCAATATATCAGCAAATATCGCCGTGGGCGCTTATTACGTCGAATACGGTACTCAAAATTACATAATTGACATCGTTTCTATAGCAACCTTATTCCTAAATGTACCCATAGTTACAGACGTGACACCATGCCATGGAGGTGTACATTCTATTAGTGTCAGATAAACAAGAAATAAAATTAAGAATGAATGGCAAGATGTTTGTATTACAACTATTTACATTGTCTTTTTAGAGAAGAATCAATACGTGATCCCACATTTCATCTAAATCCAAGTATTCTAAAACTGAGGTAGCTATTACCATATACATGTATGTACCCGCGCGCCACCAGTCAGTGGACAGGTTACAATCGTGGAGTACATGTACACTTGCGGAAATCAGGATGCATTGTACACGTTTTCAGACATGTCATATCATTGACGTAACAAAGTATTCAACAGCAGCGACGCCAGGCAGATGTTAACCTGTTGTTTTATACTACTCCAAAAAAGTAAAGGACCACCAAATTCTTTCATATTATTATGGTTAATCAGTCATGGTGGCCCTTCACCTTTTTTGAGTAGCATGATTAATGTAAATGTACAGAGACAAAGAAATGAAGGACCGTTCCGTGTCGACGTGGGAAGAAATCGATCGTTTCCACTTCATGATCAAGCAGCGTTGTGGCATCGTCCAATACACTGTGACAAACAGTCGTGACTGTGTTTTGCTTCAATGAAAGCTCCTTTGCAATATCGCGTTAAGAATCTGAAAATAAAACGTTATCTTTAAATAGTTCTGTGAAAATTGATACTGATGAACATGTGTATCAGTCAAGAACTTAAATGTAAGTTTAATGCATATTGTTTACGAGTCCGTTATGACTTTACAACGATAATATGGCATATCTAGGGATGACTGGTTTCAATGATAAAAAAAATCAATGTTTTAGATTAGTTTAATGTGTTTTCTAAGCAGGTCTTGTGAAGTGTTGAGGGTCAATGAAATGCACTTACTCATTCAAACACATGACTTATCATTTCTTTTCAATAACATATGATCCGGGCATTTACATCGGAAACCACGTGACCCTGACGTAATAACGGGACTAGGAAGACACAGATGGGAACATCCACCATTTTTGTTTCCGCAGATATCGTTGTCTGAAATGATATAAAGTTGTTGCCTTGTGATGTTAATATGACATTTGATAAAGATGTACATATGTAGAAGAATAGGTCTTCAGCAATCCATGCCTGCCGTAAAAGGTGACTATGATTGTCGTAAGAGGCGACTAACGGGATCGGGTGGTCAGGCTCGCTGATTTGGTTGATGCTCGTGATATTAATCACTGGATTGTCTGGTCCAGACTCGATTATTTACAGACCGCCGTCATATAGCTGGAATACTGCTGAGTGCGGCATTAAACAACAAACAAACAAACAAACCAAAATGTGGAAAAAATCTGATTTGAAGAATTTAAAGTTTCTTCTACTTACTCATTACAAAAACATATCAAACTTTCCTTTGTGTTTATTAATAAAAGGAGATAGATTTTTATGTGAAGAAGTACTGGGGGATGTTTATGAATGATATACCTGGTTTCTGGCGCGAGGAGTGGAATACTTTTACACCCATTGGTGAGTTTGTAACGCGGTATGACGTCACATCCTGTCCAGTGCGTTTATTCGCCCGCTTCAGTGACCGGTTGATCCAGTCCGTCCAATACACCCAGTCCTGCCGTGACCATCAACGCAAAACAATTACACAGTGAAATTGTCCTCATACATTCCGCTTCCACTACCCTGTGAATTATATCTCGACTCTGTTACCATAAGTAACACCATAGCTTTGTTTCGGAAGTGATATCAACAAGTCCTTCGCCCCTATCTCTGACTGAGCAGAAATGTTCTCTCGCGCAGGAGAGTAATTTGATTGGATGACTATTTTTACGTCATACCATACGGCCTCAAAACAAAGCTATGGTGGAGAATAGGTCCAGGGGATTTATTATAAAAGAATGAATATTAAATACGCTGCATAATCGAAAATGCATCTATGAATGTAATTTATTACTTTGTTTTTAAATAAGCATGCGTCGCTTCCGTTGTTTCAGGGTGTTCGAGAAGCGTAGCGGGTAAAGCGTTTGCTCGTCACGCTGAAGACCCGGGTTCGATTCCCGACATGGGTACAATGTATGATGCCAGATTCTGGTGTCCCCCGCCGTGACATTGCTGGGATATTGCTAAAAGCGGCGTAAAACCATACTCACACACTCACCTCCGTTGTTTCAGTGTTTATTCTGTTTATTCACCGATTTGCGTACATGTGGTATACGCTTATGACACGCGATGGATCCTGCTTTAAGCTGAAATGTCTTATGATTATGGACAATCTCATTAAAATCTGATCTAAGTTCTCGCTGCCGCTAAACAAAGATCTGAGGACATCTCATTACGGGTCATGTCAGAACGACCTTTCGCGAACTAAGACCGACGTGTCATCACGCTGTAGTTCAGGAAGTAAATGTATGCTTTGTGCAACCAATGTATAAAAATATGGATGCAAACCCACCCCGTATAGCGAGACCGAAAATAGGTGTTGCTTAGGGAAGCCGACGTTGTGTAGGAGGATGCGTCGGTTGCTGCCGTCGATGTTACTGCTTGACAACATCTCCAGGCCGGCGTCCGTCCAATACAACAGCTCCGTGACGTAATCTGGTAATGCCATACAGGAACATGACAGGGATCAAATACTTAACTACCGGGTGAAACAAAGTCAACTCCCCTGTTAGAAGGTGGCGACAAAGAAACAAACAAGAATTGGTTATTAGATGGTGATGTATTCGATACAGGTATCATAGTTGTGTTTAGGAACTTAAGTTTGCAGTGCCTCGGCGACTGCGTTCTGTCTAGTAACGTTTTGATAACGTTTGTAATTGTTTGGTCAAGTCAACTTTGGTTGGTTGGTTGATTTGTTGTTTACGCCGCACTCAGCAATATTCCAGCTACATGACGGCGGTCTGTAAATAATCGAGTCTGGACCAGACAATCCAGTGATTAATGTCATGAGCATCGATCAACGCATTTGGGATCGATGACATGCATCAACCAAGTCAGCGAGCCGATCCCGTTAGTCGCCTTTTACGACAATCATAGTCACCTTTTACGGCAAGCATGGGTTGCTGAAGACCTATTCTACCCCGGAATCTTCACGGGTCAGGTCAACTTTGAAGTGTGGGCTTTCTTTCGCCCGGCAGTTTACATTAACATTGTATATGAGACACTGAGGGACTTAAATCCGAATTGTTAAGGACTTATTTAAGATGCATCATCAGAAGTATATTTTATGCTTTGTTTGTAACGACTATTGTCACACGCTGCAAATAGACAAGACTGGTTTCTGTCAGTATTTGCGTTGCGTCAATTCATGATGAATGGAAATGGATGGTTTGTTTGCCATCAATGTCGACAATCTATTCTTTGCAGACAACCTATATACATGTATTGGTTTGCACTTTTTATTTTTATCGCAAGGCAAGGAGACATGGCAGTAAGATATTGTTTCCACATATGAAATTATATTTTTTTAAACAATGAAATTCCCTTTTGCACCTTTATAACTGGTCCAACCAATACCCAGTGGATAGACTTACCTATGGTTATTCCATTAGGCCATTTAATAGCATCGTTCATGATGACTTCCCTCTGCGTGCCATCCATACCACAACGCTCAATCGTAGCCGACACCGCCCAGTTCGTCCAGAACACCCAGCTAGGTAAGCATAGAAAACACACAGAGAACACTCGTGAAACTATTTATACAATTTCGTACAAGTGGGTTTAACAAAATATAATCAAAAGTTAGTTTTAACAAGATCAGTAATGGTACTCTCGTGTCACTGGATTGTCTGGTTTATTTACAGGCTGGCGTCACATTGCAGGAGTACTGGTGTGTTACGTCAGGCAATCAATACGTACTTTGTTTATGCAAATTGTGTGAATGGCGGGTGCTACCGGTGGGGCAGGACATGCTTACCCTTTTCGCGAACACCTGGTGTCATCACTGATTTTCAGTGGTCCATTCATATAATTTACACAGGTGTTTGCCCTTTACGCCAATAGGAAGCTGTTCCGGCATAAAATCTAGGCTGGTTATTCTCATGCATTGACAATTTATACTTAACGTCGCGTTCTAATAAGCGACATGCATCATGTGTGTTTGTTTGGTTGTTTGTGTGTGTGCGCGTGCGTGCGTGTGTAAATGTGTGTGTGTGTGTGTGTGTGTGTGTGTGTTGGGGGGGGGGGGGGGGGGGGATCTTATTGGTTTGGGGTTTTATTGCGCTAGCCCACTGAGATACCATGCTGCCCCCGCTCAGACACAGTATACTGACTTCAAGCCGACCACCACTTGTTTAAGCCCTTAATGCCGAGCGCCAGGCAGGGTAACAACAGGCACCATCTTTTATCGACTCGACCACGGAAACATTTTTTTTTTTTTTAGATATGATCGCTCACGGCATTGTTACACACCATCATGCAAACCACACATTGGCGACTTCGATTGAACGTCGCTTTGGCAACATTGCAGGAAAATCAATTTTGGGTGACACAAATAATGTACATTGTACTCATATGGGAATACCGTCCCAGTTATTTAGCTAGAACCAAAGCCTTAACCACGCGGCTACCCCAACGTAGACTGACATATAGTTATAAAGTTATCTTATTTAAGAATATACTCATTACCAAAAGAAACGCGAACCATAGACACATGTAGATAAGTATGTACGTTAAGAAGAGATGTTTCCAGAGTGTAACCAGTTAATGACAGACTAGTGTTACCACAGCGTGTCTTTTTTCTTATCACAATATGCTGCACGTCATTTCCAAACTTTACTAGCTAATCCTGCACGAGACAAATGGAACATCTCAAGTCATGGATCTACGACGTTACATGTAATGCGTTCATGAACATCGGTTCACACAACATACCAGTATGTTCATTGTGCGTCAAACCTAATATCTCTTTAATATGAGTAAGTCTTCATATATTAGCAAAAATGTATCATGGTATTCGCGTTTCTTTTGGAGGTGAGTATATATATACACACACACACACACAAAATAGACAAAACATAAAATCCAAATGGAGTCAAGAACAATCCTTAAATTCAGGAGCTAGGTAATCTAGATGGGTTTTTTTCTTAATTTATGCTCTATGGTGTGGGAGGCAAACCCCAACGCAGCAGTCAGCAACATTCCAACAACATCACAGCTATTTCACGTTGCGGCGTCAGGCGATTTGTGTGAGTGGCGAAGGCTACCGGTAGGGAAGGGCATGCTTAGCCACTTCGCGAACACCTGGTGTTATCACTGATCCATTTATAATATTTTCACCTATATTTTCCTTTCCACCCAAATGGAATTTGTTTCGGTGTTTCATTTGTTTCTGGTTATTTTCTGGCGTTGACGTTTTATATTATATAATAAAAGCGGTCATGATAAATTATCCTCTTCACAAGTCACGTACATACAGCAAACGTCAACATGTATGTCACAATCTACATAACTGTACTTAATAAATCAATATTTATGAAATGAAGCAATCTCATCAATATCATAATCTGAAAATAAGTATAGAGATTAACGATGAAATACTCTTACATTTAAATGAAACTGAATTTCATGCGTCTAACACTGCAGCGCCGCGAGCACTACAATCGATACATATGTCAGTACTTCCTTCATCCCTCATCACTGTTAAAACTTGTCATGGCTCATGTTCATTGATTGATGTAACCGGAGATGACATATGCAAAATGTACCCAAAAGTCCATCTGGTCGGAAATGAGACAGACCCTGACCTCCCTCGGGCCAGGGTCTCAGGTATCAGTGAGAGAGGGTGAACGGAACAGATTGAGACCCTCACGTCTTTGCATCTAGGAATAATTCACATGCCACCGTTCCCGTTGCCCTATGACAAACAATGATGAATTGTGACACATAATCACTGTTTGTGAGATGAGATGAAATAAGTGCGTGGCTTATTGTGCTAGTCTAAGCCTATGTAATAGAGTGAATGAGTTAAAATCGCATAAGCAATATTTCAGCCACATAGCGACGAACATGTAACAGAGCCCGTATTGAGCATTGTGTACGTCATGTGCAGAAGGAGCGGGTGAGTACACACTTCTCGTAGCAGCCCAATACGTAAACGGGACACCAATAATGGCTGTGTACTCATTTGGATTCGAACCCAGGTCTTGTTACTACTCTTCAACTCAAGTCGTCAACAGGATCATTTTCTGTTGTTGTATTTTTAAATTTTAGTTCCTGTGTATATAAATACGATTACCTTTACTTATTGCAAATACTGTATTGTGGTAGACAAAAAAAAAGCGTTTGAATCTTCGCAAGGGTAGGGAGCAAGCAAAGCGACGAGCGAGATAACACATGGCTTGCCCCTTGATCATGATGCCCTACACACTACATATGGATGCACTATGGTTGCCCTATATACCCCTTGCTGGGATGCACTATGATTGGCTTACGTACTCACTGCTGGGATGCACTATGATTGGCTTATGTGCTCACTGCTGGGATGCACTATGATTGGCTTACGTACTCACTGCTGGGATGCACTATGATTGGCTTACGTACTCACTGCTGGGATGCACTATGATTGGCTTATGCGCTCACTGCTGGGATGCACTATGATTGGCTTATGTACTCACTGCTGGGATGCACTATGATTGGCTTATGTACTCACTGCTGGGATGCACTATGATTGGCTTACGTACCCCTTGTTGGGATGCACTATGATTGGCTTACGTACCCCTTGTTGGGATGCACTATGATTGGCTTACGTACTCACTGCTGGGATGCACTATGATTGGCTTACGTACTCACTGCTGGGATGCACTATGATTGGCTTATGTGCTCACTGCTGGGATGCACTATGATTGGCTTATGCGCTCACTGCTGGGATGCACTATGATTGGCTTATGTACTCACTGCTGGGATGCACTATGATTGGCTTACGTACCCTTTGTTGGGATGCACTATGATTGGCTTACGTACCCCTTGTTGGGATGCACTATGATTGGCTTACGTACTTACTGCTGGGATGCACTTTGATTGGCTTACGTGCCCCTTGCTGGGTTGCACTATGATTGACTTACGTACCCCTTACTGGGATGCACTATGATTGGCTTACGTACTCCTTGCTGGGTTGCACTATGATTGACTTACGTACCCCTTACTGGGATGCACTATGATTGGCTTACATACTCCTTGCTGGGTTGCACTATGATTGGCTTACGTACCCCTTGTTGGGATGCACTATGATTGGCTTACGTACCCCTTGCTGGGATGCACTATGATTGCTCTTGGTCTCCCAAGCCCCTTGTCCACTAGGGTTGTACTGGTCATCCGACGAAGTGACCTGACCCTGATAGCCTCGCTGCCTGGCACTGCGTCCACCCAGTACAGGTTCTTGTGAACCCAGTCGTAGGCCACTCCATGGACGGTGGAGGCGCCACCTTTCACGACAATACGGGCGTCGGTTAACTGGACGCCATCCACCGTTGCCCTTGAAATGGACAAAAAAGACAAGGGAATTGGAATCACATTCTCGATTACCCAACGTAGCACCTTTATAAACACATACCTGGGCGCAGATTGTCCCAACTTTGGGACGTCACCTATCTAAGAAACGCAGTAGACTTTGTTTCATAAATATTGTGAGGTCAGGTGAAATGGGGTTTTACATCGCGTCCAAGATTATTGCATTTACTATTGCGACGTACATGCACGTGTGTGTGTGTGTGTGTGTGTGTGTGTGTGTGTGTGTGTGTGTGTGTGTGTGTCTGCTTGTACTTATCCGGACTAATGCCGATTTTATAGTGCTAGCTCACTGAGATACCATGCCGCAGTTTAACATGAACACCCCACTCAGACACAGTATACTGACTCCGAGTCTTTTGTTAGCCATTTAACGCCGAGCGTCAGGCAGGGTAACAAAAAGTACCATCTTTTAACGTCTATTGGATCGAACCCCGGACCTTCCGCTCTCCGGGCGGACGCTCTACCACTAGACCACGAACACGTTATACATGTATTACGTAAATACATAGCAGAGGTGGTTCCAGCATGCTAAAACAGTGGGGGTCCACAGATTACTCAGATCACATGTAAGGTGGCTAACAAACACCCACATCCTTCCAGATCCGCCAATGCATGCCATCTTAGACAGAGTTGATCGACAGATACTGAATCCATCAAAACAAGACATTCATAAAGACATCAACGTGGACAATGGCCCTCTTGATAGGGTGATGGGCATATCAGCAAGGACACTGACCAACAGAGACATGAAGAACCTCTCACATGTTAATGGACTTGGTGGATAGGTCTGACCAGTACATGGCGGCATTGGCCACGTCAAAGTCCAGGGCGACTGGTCTCTCGATGGCGAAACGTTTGGGCACCTCCATTATTGTGGAGTCGAAGGTTGTCAGGTTGAATCGCCGGAACGCCACGTGATCGATCAGTATCAGAAATGCATCTTTGCCTGAAGTCACAGGTTACTTCGAATAAGTCGATATTAAAAGTAAAAACAAAGCGACGTACATAACAGAAAAGATATCAGTAATCAAGTAACAGCCAGAATACAAAATGAGCGCACGTTCAAAAACCGAGGAACAAGATTAGTGTCACAAAAGGACAGTCGTTGTTACCAAATCTTATAAACCTATTCATTGGGATCGCTATTAAGTAAGAGACTTCTTTCTATAGGCATTAAAACCTGTTGTGAGGTTTTACTTTCCAGTCGGGTTAAATCTCATAAACATGGACGTTGTAATGTCCCTGGGATTTATATAATATCCCAGGGATTTTATTAATATAACTTCCGTTCAGATTGTAACATGTAATGAAATGTAAAATCAAATGACAAATTTTTTCTTTATATTCCCGAGGATCGAACTCGCAACCTTCATCTCTGTAGCCCAGTGAGGGTGCCCTGGGGGTCAGGAAAAACCGCGGTGGCTTCGCCCCCTTGGTTTTTCCCTCTCCCCAGGGCATGCTATGTCTACCAAAACCTCGTGAGCGTGTTTTCTCCAATACGTAAATATATGCGACCATGGCAATTTTGTTTTTGTTTTAAGATACAAAATGGAAATTTCTGATGCACAACATTCCCCTTTTCGTTCCTACGTCGTTGACTTCGATGCAAATATTGTTCATACAGTTGTGTTTCACAAGGAATGAGTCAGTGATCGACTGCTGTCTTGATATTTCCATACGATTAAAAGACGTACAACTTTCAATATTTAGGCTGTTGTTGCAAGGTTGATAGTTTCGATGTTGAACACAAGGACTGATAGTGATTGCAATACATACACGAGTAGATCTGATCCACATTGTATCAGGTCGACCAACTCACTCTGGACACACTTTCCATTGTCCTTATCGAAGCCGACACGACATGCGCACTCATAACTTCCGTTGGTATTGGAACACAGATGATCACACACTCGCGGCTGTTCCTCGCACTCGTTGACGTCATGACAGGTGCCGTTGACGATGCGGTAACCTTGGAGACACTGGGGCCAGGATGGATCTGTACAAGCAGTTGGTAGCATATCAAAACATGGCGGCGTTAAACAAACTCTGAGGGGCACGTAATGGTTTTTAGAACATACTTATATATAAAGTTTATATTACAGCAATGAATCCCACTCTGTTGAAAACTGTTTGTGAAGGAACGTATTTATGTTTCATAAAACTTTAACTAATATCCGAGATGCACTAAATTTTAAGACAACGTAGATAGTCGTTAAAAGATTTATTTAAACGTTTCGTTTGTATGTGAAGTGATTGCTGTAACCAGGACTGAAACAGTCACATAACGAAACAATAATTCTGTATTATTGAATGTTGTTTAACGCCACTGTCCGCAAACATCCAGTTATTTCTGTCGCCTAATGTGGTATTGGCCATGTGAACCATCGGCTGACTGCTTAAACAGCTGCGTCCCCTGGGCTCGCCAGAAACCTATGATTGTGGGTTCTAATCCCGGTTCGCCCCGATTATGTTTCTAGGTTTGTCAGCACCATACCCGTGCACGTGGGTTTCACCAAAGTGGTAAACATCTGAGACCTGCATCACTTCGGGCTTTCCTCCAACATTAAGCTGACACGCCGTGATATAACTGGGATAATGTTAAAAGCGGCGTTAAATCCAACTCACTCACTCACTCTAGTTGTCCCGTTGATTGTCTGTAAAGCAGAAATGTCCACCTGTGTCTCCGCAAGCCTTCCCATCCGATTGCAGATATAGACCGTCTGGGCAGGCGCACCGGAACTTGTGTTTCTCCCCAGGTGGTGTCGGGAGGCAAATTTGACAGCCGTTGCTGTAGGCGTCGGCGCATCGATGCCGTGCTGTTGCCGTATACAATAATAGAATAATATGTGCATCATATGGGTAGAATATCATAACGCCTCCATTAATAAGTGAAGCGTTAAAGAGGGCGACTCGAAGAAGCACTCGGTAAATCACAAAGAGTGTCTCACAAGTTATTTTGAGGTACACCGACGCAGATTGCAAAACCTTTATGGACTTTTAATATTCAATAACAAAAAGATACATAATGGATGACTGCAAAGTATCAATATTCAACCTTGATAAAAACTGCCTTTAAGATCTCAGTACACATATCATTGTTTATCCAAAATAAATTTTTCAGTCAGTGTCGCGCATACAGAGCTATTGATAATTATCAAACATGAAAAAGAATGTTTATTAACGTGCATGAGGCCGTTGCATCTACTTTTGTTAGTTTGTTTTTAACGCCGCACTCAGTATTCCAGCTGAACGACCGAAGTATGTTAAAAATCGAATCTGGACTAGACAATCAAGTGATTGGCACCATGAACATCGATCAATATAACTGAATACGGTGACATGCATCAACCAAGTCAGCGAGCCTGGCCACCCGATCCCGTTAGTCGCCTCTTACGACAAGCATAGGTTGATAATGGTGAGGTGAGGTGAAATTGGGTTTAACGTCGCGTCCAAGATTATTGCACTTATATAGCGACGTGCATGCACGTGTATGTGTGTATGTGGCTGCTTGTACTAGTCCGGACTGATGCCGATTTATAGTGCTAGCTCACTGAGATACCATGCCGCAGTTTAACATGAATACCCCACTCAGACACAGTATACTGACTCCGAGCCGACCAGTCCTTGTTTTAGCCCCTTAATGCCGAGCGCCAGACAGGGTAACAACAAGTACCATCTTTTAACGTCTTTTTGTATGACGCGGCCCGGGATCGAACCCTGGACCTTCCGCTCTCCGGGCGGACGCTAGGTTGATAAAGACAAATGCTATTCCGGATAATGACGGGGACCGATACAGCTACTTGCATGTGTCAATTTGTACATAATGGGTGGCCAAGACACAACACACCTCCAGGAAGGTGAAGGAACATCGTTGTCCACAATTCAGTGATTTTGCAAGATACATACCAAAGTTTCCATATTTTATGAAATATTGATGGGACACTCAACTACATAAATTCTAAACTCTGCGGCCATCACAAAACACTGAAGATGATCCTCAAAGGGCTGAGACGAATACACATGTCCGGCCAAGAAACAAGATCAGCTTGAGGATAAGTTCTCAAGACACAAAGGTGTCAGAACACATTCAAATTACCACACCAAATTCTGCGGCCATCACGACCACAGTTCTGAAGGTTACATAACGGTACAAATGAACTTGAAATGACGGTTATTTGTAGAGAAACGTATACTGGACATAAGCAAGTCTATGACTACTGGCAGTCCAATCCTGTATAACCGTGAATATCCGGGATAAAATGGGTCTTCAGCAACCCCTGCTTGCGTAAAAGACGCCTATGCTTGTCGTAAGAGGCGACTAACGGGATCGGGTGGTCAGGTTCGCTGACTTGGTTGATGCATGTCATCGTATCTCAATTACGTGGATCGATGCTCATGATGCCAGTCACTGGATTGTCTTGTCCAGACTCGATTATTTACATACCGCGTCATATAGCTGAGTGTGGTATCAAAAACAAACAAACAAACTGTTGTATGATATCCAATATGAGGACTCACCGTATGGCTGTCTGTCGGGGTGTACGATGGCAACCCCCGACGGTTGTGTCCCCTCACTTAAACCCGGTCCGCGCTTCATCCACACCAGATCGAAATCCTGGATTTTAGGTTCGCTCCACTCGGTCCAGTAGATAGAATTCTGACATGTATAAAAATATATTTAACACTGTAAGGGCTGAAGTGTATTTGACGGGGTGGGTGGTGGGGGGAGGGGTGTGTTTTTTTTGATATTGTAAGGAACACTGAGCAAACAGTTTCATAAAAATTATCCCCAAAATATTCATAATCCCTAACAGTTTTTGTTTATAATATGCGTCTTCCAGGTGGTTCTCACAATCTTACCGTTACGGCGTAATCACACACATTTATCCCCTAAGCACACAATTGCGAAAATTGTTTGGTACATTTAAATTTGCCAGAAGCAAAGAGGTACAATAACGATACATTTTATGACATATACTGCCTAGTTATCGTGTAAATATTAATTGTCAGTGCAAGAGAATAACCAGTCTAGATTATCCACCATTTGGTGTAAAGAGCAAAACAGCTGTGAATGGACCTCTGAAAACCACTGATGACACCAGGGTGCCGTTTCACGAAAGCCTCTTAGCGCTACGACCCCCTAACCGCTGCGACCTAGTTTAGGAGGTCGTAGCGCTAAGAGGCTTTCGTGAAACGGCACCCAGGTGTTCGCGAAAAGGGCCCTGCCCTACCGAAAGCACCCGCCATTCATTATTCCCTCATGCGTAGACCGGTTCCACTCACGACTGTTACACCAACATGGGCGCACAAAGTACATGTATCGCCTAGTTAATCTTTAATTCGGTCACGGAACAAATAGCAACAAGAAAATAATTAATATTAAATAAATACAAATAATTAATGTGTTAAGGACCTATATTCACTTTACCCCAATTGCATCCAATGAAAATATCATGAGTCTCTCCTTCGACTTCCACAAGATGGAGCAGTCTTTGCCGTTCAGGTCGCAGCTTACCAACTTCGTCGCCCAGCCGTCCACCCAGTACAAGCGGTCATTTACATAGTCTGCCAGTGAGAACAGTGAAACATTGTTAATGCCTCCATTGAGAGGTGATATCCTCACCACAAGTAGAGTTGACGTCAAGCGTATAACTGTACTTCAGTTGGTAAATATCATTGGACCGTGTAAAACCCATGCGTGTTCTTCAAAATATATTTGACTGTCGTAAGTAAGATGGAAAACTTTATTTTCGGTGACAGAGGCAGGGGTGGACCAGTCCACTGAAACGCCGCAACTGGCTGTCCAGCGTTGCGTCCCTTAGTCGTGCCTGAATCCGATGATCTATGGTTTGCCCTTATTATGATTCAAGCACAACAACCTCGCTCATCGGTTTCACCAAACCAAAGTGGCAAACGTCTGGCATCACTTGTGGCTTTCCTTCCACTCTACTCTGATACGATGTGATATGACTGGGATTCTGATCATAACGTTGTTCAAGACAACTCACTCACTGGCTACAGATACCCACGTGTCACCGCCATAACCCATCCTTTTTCGCCGACATACAGTGTAAGCAACAAAGTAAGGATGAGATATGGATGAACACTTTCTTTAATCCAATTAATTGCTTGATAACGGTGTTAGAACCTACACCGAAACATCGCTCTTAATTGTAATAAAGAGGTGTTCATCCATATATCTTATCATTGCTTAGTACTACAACTTTTAAGTGCCTCTCAAAGAAGTGTCAAAAGGATCTTCGTGTGTCCAAATATTGCAAATGTAAGGAACAAAATTTGTTATTACCACTTGGAACTTATACAAGTCTTGTTGCATGCAAGTATACCCGTCAATGTAAAACATTTAGTTTGTGCTGACACTCATTTCCATAGCAAGAAGAAACATCAAGTCTGGTACTATACTATTAGATTTCAGTGGCCGTACATGTCAAAGACATTGATGGTGGATATATGATTTCCAAGGAACAGAGGGTCGGACTGTGATGAGTTAAATCTTCCAACGTAGAACAGACAAATGTAACCTCACGATAGATAAAACACTGCCCGAGTCACAACACTCGCAGTATTGTCACAGTAACCAGTCTTCAAGGAGGACTTGGCTCGGATAAATTGGCAATCCTAGCAAGTTTAATTCAAGTGGTAAAACACGTCAACTCACTCAGGTTATACTATATACATCGATCTGACACTTCACAGAACATGTCTACATTTCACCATTCATTTCATAATGTCATGCTTACCTATAGATACATCATTGGGCGTGTCCAGACCCCGATGTATGAGGACCTCCCTGTTGCTACCGTCCATCCCACAGCGGGCTATCTGAGGACGCACGCCCCACGCCGCCCAGTACAGCCACCTAAACAACAACAGCCACAACCAACAACGTGAGCAGAGCAGCCATTTCAGCAGATACTTGGTTATATTGACCGCCTCCGTGGTCTAGTGGTAGAGCGTCCGCCCGGAGAGCGGAAGGTCCGGGGTTCGTTCCCCGGCCGCGTCATACCAAAAGACGTTAAAAGATGGTCCTTGTTGTTACCCTGTCTGGCGCTCGGCATTTAGGGGCTAAAACAAGGACTGGTCGGCTCGGAGTCAGTATACTGTGTCTGAGTGGGGTATTCATGTTAAACTGCGGAATGGTATCTCAGTGAGCTAGCTCTATAAATCGGCATCAGTCCGGACTAGTACAAGCAGCCACACACACACACACACACATACACGTGCATGCACGTCGCTATATAAGACTTAGTGCAATAATCTTGGACGCGACGTTAAACCCCATTTCACCTCACCTCACCTCTTATGGTTATTTAAAGGATGTTATCGATTTTGATTATTGTGAAACGTTCCACAATACGTATGTATCATGTTTACTCTTCAGTGAGGGGTAAGACAGGTAAACCCTTGTTTGTTTTGTGTCTAACGCTGCAGTCATCCCAATTCCACCTGTATCATAGCGCCATGGAAAGCATAGAGTCTGATCCTGACAAGCCAATGGTATTTTATAAGTAACGTCCAACATCTTACCCATGTCTTGGATCAACTGCAAGTCCCCGGATGTATCCAAGGTCAGCGTCAAGAAGAGTTTTCTGGATCATAGTGTCCAGGGACGCCACGTGAAGGGAGTGCGCACTGAGATCTGACCAGTACAAGTTGTTGTGCACCCAGTCTAACGCTATCCCCTGGGGGTCACGGATACCAGTCCAGAATAGTTTCTTTTTATCCTTCAGGGCGTCCCCCTCCAGCTGTGCCCTGGATGAGACAAAGGTCTGTGGATGTCGTTTCTTGTTTGTGTTTAACGCGACATTCAGCACTATTCCAGACAAACCAGTCATTGATATTATGATCAACGTCCGTCGGTGTACGGTGACGTGCAACAGTCTCCACTGGACCGATCTCTATATACATTCGCATATGTAGAGAAATATGTAAGTTTCCTTTGATATAGGTATGTTAATATTTAATGAAAAACATTATCGTAGCATGTCATTCTAGCAGATGAACAAACCTACGTGTATATTCCAGTTTCTCGGTAATCTGTCCAGTAGATTGTGTGGTTTTTGAAGCTGTAGTCGATTGCAGTAGGCCTTGATTGGGAACTCTCATCTGCGAGAGGAATGGACGTCACTTTTCCGTTAACCAGATCTACTTTCTTCAGTTCCTTCCTGTCAACCACGAGGAGGATTGCGGCCACGGGCTCTACAAACACACAGATCATCAAAACGTTAAACTTATGGACTACCGTTTTTGTTTAAGATATACAGCTGTGGTTCACGATGTGCTGTGTCATGTGATAGACGTTCACGAAACTACTTCCAATCCGGATTGTTGTCAAAGATCCTTCATGTGAGATTGGGACAAGCCGAATGCTACCCCCTCCGGTTAATGTAGTATAACCTACATACCCTGTATCCAGGGAAAGCACATCGTATAAAATGTTCCAAAATATCTATCTCAAAATTCACAAACTACAAATTTCAAATTATGACTTTGGCAAGACTGATGTCGCCGCTCTTACCACGTGTCTTGCAGCTTGTGTCGTTGACGAGGGCGTACCCATCAGGACAGGTACATTTATAACTCCCGGGCGTGTTGGTACAATTGTGAGAACATGGAGTCGTTTCACATTCGTCGACATCAACACACGTGCCGTTTGCAGATCGGAAGCCTGAGGAACACGTGGCGGACCTCTGACCTACAAGGTTAAGTTTGTTACATTATTTGGTGTTAAATTACGGATACACCAGATATTTTTATTTTTGTTTTTACGTTATGACTTTCATGTGTATTGTTGTATATGCAAAGTTTAGGGGGGCGCGGGTGGCCCAGTTGTCCATGACGCCAACATCCGCTGTGCAGATTTGCGTCCCAATGTCGTGCCATGATCCTATGCTTTTGGTTCGAGTCTCAAATTTGATCTGATTATGATAATTCTTTTCTCAGCACCCTACATGTACCCGTGCTCGTTGGTTTCAACAAAGTGGCAAGCGTTCAAGACCGACATCACATCCGGTTTACTCACACATTTATCACACTATGACATGTACCAATTGTAAAACACTCACTCACTCACTCACTCACTCACAAACAATAACGTTTGTAGTGTACCAAAACACGATACCGGACAACAGATGAAATGATATGATATGACATTGTTTTAACACTATGTCTTTCACTGACACACAATTTCATTAAAAATAGAATTTTAATTTCGATGCGATACCTCTCGCCTGGGGAACTGATTACACCCCAATCGCGTCAGGTGAACACTCACCAAACTTTGGCTGTCCAATTTAAATGAAGGAAGCGTGTGTTCTTGAACCAATCAGATGTCGATTTTAACAAACGAAAACCCATACAGAAGACATATATATCCACCTAGTATAATACTGCTGTATTATGAAGTTAATGTGTTAATGTGTAAATTTAGGACATTCAAAAGCCATATACTCAATGAAATCCTTTCTATTTGTTACAGTTAATCTAATGTTTGTACATGAGAGTTGAGACACAAGAATAAGAAAGAATAAAGAATCAAGATGTTTGGAACTTCATGTTGTAATCAACAGTACTCATTGTATGTGTAGATGCCATGGTGCTTTGATAAGCCATGATCTTCATTTTGTTATATAAAAGGTTTGTGGTGTTGTGACTTACCTTTCTTGACACACGTCTTTCCATCAGCCTGGAGTGTCATTCCATCAGCGCATGCGCAGGTGTACTCCTTGGTGCCTTCTTCTTTTTGCGGATGTGGCAAACAAATTTGGCAACCTCGATTATCCAGACCACATCGGTTCTTCTCTACAGGAGAATATTCAGAAGATGTCAAGATTATATGGATGGGTGAGACTTGCACCAAGAAGAGAATAATACGGTCCTATGAAGAGTTATTGTTGAGCCTACGAAATGTACATGGTTAAGATTGCCTTGTTTTATGTCGAAGCTGCAATATCCCTGCTGTATATATCCGACCGTCTCAAAATCACCGAGTTTAGGGTTGACCAAGCCCCTGACATTATGAACAAAGTCCAACACCGCGGGGATGCGATGTCAGGCAATCAACTAAGTGTCCGAGCTTGTCCCCCAGGATCTAACTTAGTCGCTTCTTACAAGCAGCTATTTGCTGGGACAAACTCCAAATTATCTCCCGAGGTGTGGTGAGGTGAGTTGGAAAGAGTTTTAACGTCGCATTCAGTATTATTGCACTTATATGCCAACGTGCATGTGTGTGTGTGTGCGTGCGTGCGTGCGGGCGTGCGTGTGTGTGTGTGTGTGCTTGTACTAGTCTGGACTATCGCTGGTTATAGTGAGATACATGCATACTTCACTCAGACAGAGCCGACCACTCCTTGTTTATCACCCTGATGTCGAGCGCCAGACGGGTTAACAATACCGACTTTTAACGTCTTATGGTATGACGCGGCCAGGGATCGAACCACCGACCTGTTGCTCTATAGGCAGACGCTCTATCCACTAGACCATGGAGGGTTCCCTTGTTCCACCCGAGACGATAAATGACAGCCACACCAATAACGAGTGAGTGAGTGAGTGAGTATGGTTTTACGCCGCTTTTAGCAATATTCCAGCAATATCACGGCGGGGGACACCAGAAATGGCCTCACACATTGTACCCATGTCGGGAATCGAACCCGGGTCTTCGGCGTGACGAGCGAACGCTTTAACCACTAGGCTACCCGACCGTCCCACACCAATAATGAGTCGGTAAATATGAAATTTTACATTGTTTGAATTAAAGGAGGTAGCAGCATATACCCAGTTGTGACAATAGTAGCAATAGAACAAGATTTTTGTTTGTTTCATGTTTAACACCGCATGCAGCAATATCTAAGCAACATGACGGCGGCCTGTAGAAATTCGAGTCTGGAACAGATAACGATACCATGCATCAGCAAATACACCTTGAAAAGTTATTCGGTTGCACACACACTCTCCGATGTGGATAATAAGCAAGATCGTTTGGTTCAGGCTCAGGCAATTTGTGGTGCTACCAGTGTAGACCGCCTCCGTGGTCTAGTGATAGAGCGTCCGCCCACAGAGCGGAAGGTCCGGGGTTTGATCCCCAGTCGCGTCATACCAAAAGACGTTAAAAGATGGTACTTGTTGTTACCCTGTCTGGCGCTCGGCATTAAGGGGCTAAAACAAGGACTGGTCGGCTCGGAGTCAGTATACTGTGTCTGAGTGGGGCATTCATGTTAAACTGCGGTATGGTATCTCAGTGAGCTAGCACTATAAATCGGCATCAGTCCGGACTAGTACAAGCAGCCACACAAACACACACACATGTACGTCGCTATATAAGTGCAATAATCTTGGACGCGACGTTCAACCCCATTTCACCTCATCTCACCTGTTACCAGTGTACAGATGTCCCACCTGTTATCTGCCTTGACTTGTGGAAGACCTTGATGCCCAGGGGCATGACCCCTCCAACATGGTGGAAGGTCATCTTCCCAGTCCTCTTGTCCATCTTCCTCACAGTGTCGGTGATCCAGTCCGTCCAGTACAGGTGGTTCTGCAGGTAACACAGTCAGTCATCAGGATAACAGTATACACGAACCTACTGTCCTCCCCTCCTTGCACTACCGGCTAGTACATACATACCACGATAGCTGGTATTTTCACACAAAATCGTAATATTGCAAATTTATCTTATATAATATACAGTGTATGTCTTTGTTACAATCAAATAATATTTCATTCCAAATCAACATAATTCATGAGAACTGAGCAAAACTTGAAAGAAATTGTTATGAAAGTTATAGTGTTATTCGATTGTATGAGAATATGACTTTGTCTATTCGAGATGCTATTTTGGACTTTAACGCTAAATGTGTGAAGTTCAATCGTGCCGTGATATGACTGGAATAGACCTAATGGAGGGACAATTCGATTTTCAGGGGTTTTTGTATTAGAAAAAATAATATCCAAGCCCGTTTCACTGAGAATTCTTTTACAAATGTCTCGCAATGTAGGAAATAAAATTATGTCCCAGTTTCTAATAGAAAAGTGTCCATAGAAAGGAATTTCGTTTTTCAGTATTATTGAGAAATATACTTGAGTTCTTAAGCATTAAAAAGAAGTGCTGATCCCAAACCAAGTTCCCCTATCTCCCCCTCAACCCCATACTCTGAAATCAAATGGCTGCACCCTAAGAGTGATGTTAAACCCAAATCATTCACTGTCTATTTTGCAGTATATATTGTTTCTTGTTCATCCGGACACAGTCAATGGAATGTACCTGGAACACTGTAATAGCATACATATGTTCCCGGAAGAATTTTGTCTTGTCAATGATGACCCTGACGTCATTTCCGTCTAGATCAGAGCTCGTGACAGTGTCCAGGTAGGAATCGGTCCAGTACAGGCGCTTATCTATGTAATCTGGAAGCAAATAGGTGACTGTGTAATCAAATCAAATCAGTTAAATACTAAAATTATTTACAATCCAAGATTTCGTTGACGAGGTTTTTCTTCCAAGGCATTTTTTCGTATGTAATTCATAATGTCACCCATAACCCAAGTGTACTACTGAAAAGAAGTTAAAAAACATCCGATTCTTTCATATTACTGTAGTTAATCTAAACTTTAAGTAATATGAAAGAATCGTGTGTGTTTTAACTTCTATTGAGTAGTATTGAGTGTTTACGCAGTACTTTCCTACGTCACGGATTCAATTATTTCCGAGCTATCAGTGAGTTCTATTTTGTTTATTAATGATTATCATTTATTTATAAGCTTTCAATGATGGTTATATTGGGCCTAAGAATTGTTATTAATGGTTAATTTACCAAAGGTAATGCCATAAGGCGAATGTGTTGATGATGGACTAATCGGGAGCAAAATATTAGATTCAGCAAAATATAGTGACAACATTTTATTATTAAATATTATATTTTTTTATTACTCAACTAAGTGCAATTTTGAGTGCAATCGGTCTAGCGACTTCTATTATTATTGATGCAGAGCTCCATAAGGGATGTGATTTATTGTTGCTGAAAATGATTCAATTTCACCATCAATGACGTCCACAAGCCTGATGATCAATACGGTTTCGCTCACCAATAGTTATGCCATTAGGCCAGTGAATATTGGCACTGATAATGGTATGTCTGCTGGTGCCGTCCATACCACACTTCTGTATATCCGCCGGCTGGGCCCAGTTCGTCCAGTACATCCACCTGTATCCATAAACCAGCCGATAACACAATTGTAGAGAGTGAGTATGGTTTTACGCCGCTTTTAGCAATATTCCAGCAATATCACGGCGGGGGACACCAGAAATGGGCTTCACACATTGTACCCATGTCGGGAATCGAACCCGAGTTTTCGGCGTGACGAGCGAACGCTTTTGCCACGAGGCTACCCGACCGCCCCTAACACAACTGTAATACAAGTAAAGCAACTATAACATAAAAAACGGAATTCTCATCCCGGGTAAGAACATAGATCTCCAGCAACTTAAACGTGTCTTTAGAGACGACAATATGGAGCGTGTGGTCAGGTTCGGTGACTTGGTTGATTGCATGTCATCGTATCTCAATTGCATTGATATGTGCTCATGACATCAGTCATTGGGTTGTCTGGTCCAGACTCGATTATTTACTGCCATCATAAAGCTAGAATTTTACTAAATGAGGCGTAAAACAACAAACAAACATTGCGTGATGAAAACTCGAAGCTAAAATCTATAATATTTCGGGATAAAATCTCTTACACACTCTATCTCACTTACTGTTAAACATGATCCCGTTAAGTAATTATCCCGTTACATATCCACGTGGCTACCGAGCTGTATGACCCTCCACGTGCCCTTACCTCTTCTACTACCTAATCATATACACCGCCTTCGTGGTCAAGTGGACAGAGCGTCTGCCCGGAGCGAGGACAGTGGGCAGTAAAGACGTTAAAACATGGCGCCCGCTGTGACCTGACCTGGCGCTCGGCATTAAGGAGTGAGTGAGTGAGTATGGTTTTACGCCGCTTTTAGCAATATTCCAGCAATATAACGGCGGGGGACACCAGAAATGGGCTTCACACATTGTACCCATGTCGGGAATCGAACCCGGGTCTTCGGCGTGACGAGCGAACGCTTAAACCACTAGGCTACCCGACACCCCCTCGGCATTAAGGGGATAGAACAAGGTCGGTCAGTATACTGTGTCTGAGTGGGGTATGAATGTTACTATGGCTTGGTATCTCAGTGGTCTAGCACTATTAAACCGACATTAGTCCGGACTGGTTCAAGCAGACACACACACGTGCAAGCATCTACATGTAGCTATATAAGGGTAATACTCTTGAGCGCGGGGGCGGTCGGGTAGCCTAGTGGTTAAAGCGTTCGCTCGTCACGCCGAAGACCCGGGTTTGATTCCCGACATGGGTACAATGTGTGAAGCCCATTTCTGGTGTCCCCCGCCGTGATATTGCTGGAATATTGCTAAAAGCGGCGTAAAACCATACTCACTCACTCACTCACTCTTGAACGCGACGTTAAACTAATTTCACCTCATCTAATTGATTTTTCTTTCAATAAAAATAAAAATGGTTACTTGGAGGAAGTCTACTAATATGTTCCTGTGTATGATTACAAACAACAACAAAAACATTACCCTCTGGCAGGATCAACAATTATCGCCCGAGGGTTGCCGAGATTTGTGTAAACGAGGGTTGCCACCAACTTTGACCCAAGGGACATAACTCTTATTGCCTCCTCCTCCTCCTTGTCCTGTGTCCAGTAGAGGGCCTCGTGGACCCAGTCGTATGCCACACCTCCCACTGCCGTCATGTTTGACAACAGGACCTCCGGGCTCTCCAGTTGGGTGTTGTGAATACGGGCCCTACACGACAAAAAATTGCAGAGACTATAAACACAGCATGCATTTACCAAAGACAAGAGAACACTTCCAGTGCAACCCGGAAGTCCAGACCTTGACATGACCTTGACCTTCATACAAGAGGAATTCAATTTGGAGGGAACTATTAATACACGAATACGGAATGTTTTAGAATTACCCTGATCTTTAAATAAGATCTTACGCATCAACAGTCAAACCGGGAAGAAGACGGCCATACTCACACATTGATATTTTTTGTCATTACATCCGACCAAAAGACCGTGTTTCTCCTGACGTCAAAGTCAAGAGCTGCTGGTCTCACGATCTTGAAGCGTTTGGGCTTTGTCATAACAGCATAGTTAAACGTTGTCAGGTTGATTCGTTTCAAGTTCATCGAATCCAGAAGTACCAAATAAACTTCATTCGCTGAAATGATAACGCCCGGCCGAGGATTGAGTCAGTCAAATGTTGTAGACGTACCGTAACTAACATTCTCATGGAGTTGATGGACATTTTGTTAACAACCAACCGAAAACTGATAAATAATAAAAATGATAATAGTGATAATAATAGGGAGCAAGGGCCCAGAGCTGGTGATGAGCCTAACCAGGATCACCAAAACCATCTTTGTGGCATTTTGTTTTAATCTGTAAATAATAATAATAATAATAATAATAATAATAATAATAATAATAACAACAACAATAATAATAACAATAATATTTAATACAATAAATGTGCGTACCAGCTTCTGCCTCACATCTGGTGACATTGACAGGTATGTAGCCATCATAGCACGTGCAGCTGAATCCGCCGACTGAGTTGACACACTTGTGTGAACACAACTCTGGCGAAACCGTACACTCGTCTTTATCCACACACCTGTCGCCCTTCAACACGTAGCCCTCAAAACATGGCGACGGCTTGGACGGATCTTGAAAAGTGAAATTTATTTTCTTTCTAATATTTTTTTTAATCAGATTTATCATTCATTAATGAATGCTATGGAAAATGTACATTTTCATATTACTTGGTTTTACTAAAAAGTAAACACCCAAGTTTGATGGTGGCTAAAAGTGAAACAAACAAGAAGATGTTGTTCGATGGAGATGTATTTGCTGCGGGTATCATAGTTGTGTTTTGGCCCTCAGGTTTCGGCGACTGTTTTCAGCCAAGTAACGTGTTGATAATATTTGTATGTTTTGTCAAATCCAATTTCCAAGTGTACACTTTTAGTTTAGTTCTTTTGAGGAATTGAGTGAATGTGGTTTTACGTCGCGAGATCGAGCTACGTCACGACGGCTGTAGATGGTCGAGTCTGGGTCAAACGAGTGGTAGATAGCGTGAGCAACGATTGATGCGAAGGAGCGCCCTTCAGTCCCGGAACCCATAGGGGCTTCATTCCTGGTTCATAAGCCACCTCCTAGGACAATAGGGGTGGTGGGGTAGTATAGTGGTTAGAGCGTTCACTCGTCACGCCAAAGACCCGGGATCGATTCCCTATATGGGCACAATGCGTAAAGCCCATTTTTGGTGTCCTCAAAGTGATAAAGATGAAATATTGCTAAAAGCGGCGTAAAACCTAACACATTCACTGTACTTCACTACTTGATGAAGGTGTTATCTTCTAAACGTACTAATATCAGTTGTTTATTAATAAGAACCTGTCCTTGTTCATCACATTAACTTCTAAATGCAACTCAAACAAACTTGTTCAAGTCTTTGATAAACACATAATATCTATCAAATTATTATTGTTATACATAATATTATTACAGATTGTAATACACTAATATTTATGTATATATGTCTTGGTGGATTTAAAATATATAATGAATTGATTTATTCCCTTAAATAACTACCTGTGCCTGAACAAGTTTTCTTGTCCGATTGCAGGAACAAGTTATCCGGGCATGCGCAAATATATTCAGAAGTGGAGTTATCTCCCTTCGGTGACGGTAAGCAAATCCGACATCCGCCATTATCCGGACCACACCTGTTTGGAGCTGAAATCAAAGCAATGGCAATGGCATTAGCATTAAAAAGCAGCTTGTGTGAATGGCCACCACGTGGATCGAGAACTTCTGAAGATAGGGTCGTTACTGTCAAGAATTGTATCTTATACCAACCGTGCGGCTGTCGTTGGCCGTGAAGCACAGCAAGGCCCTTTGGTTCTAAAAGGTTTCCCCGAACGAGGCGGAGGAACTTGCCCATCTCCCTGTTAATCCTTTGAATCTGTAACTGCGCTCTGTCGCTCCAGTAAAGACGTTTCTAGGTATATAACATCTCATAACACAAAACAATCACCACAACAATCATGTAGAGCAGTTAGCGTACAGATTTATATTAAGGTGCCTTTCGAAATATCAGGATGTTTCTCCATGCGGTTTCCAATACATCACAACAAAGTCTGGTTTTACGCCCCTTGCGCAGTGCTAGGATCCGCCGATCTCAATTTTGAAATCATTTATCGGCCTTACATATTATGCTTGGTTTGCCAACGCCATAACCAAGTTTGGGGATAGGCGTCTACGCCCTTTGTCACTTTCAACTAATATTAAGATGAGGTGAGTGAGTGAGTGAGTGAGTTGGGTTGGGTTTAACGCCGCTTTTAACATTATTCCAGTTATATCGCGGCGCGTCAGCTTAATGTGAGAGGAAAGTCCGAAGTGATGCAGGTCTTACCAATTGGGTGAACCCCACGAGCACGGGTATGGTGCTGACAAACCTAGAAACATAATCGGGGCGAACCGGGATTCGAACCCACAATCATAGGTTTCTGGCGTGTCCAAGGGACGCAACTCTGCACAGCGAATCGCGGCGCCTTAGACGACTGGGCTCCCGTGCCCCCTAAGGTGAGGTGAGGTGAATTGGGGCTTCATGTCACGTTGTAGGGTATTGCATTTATATTGCGGCGTGCATGCAGGTGTGTGCATTGCGGCTGCTTGTACTAGTCCGGACTCATGCCGGTTTTATAGCGCTAGCCTACTGAGACATATAATTGCTCAGTTGAACATGGATGCTCTTCTCAGCCACATAATAATGACCCCGAGCTGATCAGACCTTGTCTTATCCCCTTGATACCGAGCGGTATTTTGGTAGGTGATCGAACCACCGACTTTCCGCTCCCTGGGTGGCGGTCACAGAACACTAAGATCTGATGTAACTGAAATTCTGTTCACAGCGGCGTTAACTCACCTTGCTCACGGAGCGTTGTTATAGATGTGACGTTAGTCGCACCTTACCTTGTATATATCGATGGCATAGTACATGAGTGGTGCTTGGGTCTCCCACAGTTCGCGACAGACACCTGTGATGATGTCGCACACACCAATCTTGTCGTTACCGCTGTCCGCCCAGTAGAGCTCCTTTGTTTTGAAATCTGAAACAAGCCAAAGAACAACAATTGTGTTTGTTTATAAACAACTAACATTCATCTTTTGTGCGGAAGTTACAAAGCCTTTCACTGCAGTGGACCACAATCCGAGATGCAGAACTTTTCATTAATAGTATGAAAGTACTTACCTGTTACTACGTTGTTTCTAACCTATGGCCACGTTGTTACTAACATATTGTCTAGTTGTTAACCTATGGCCACGTTATCACTAACCTATAGCCACGTTGTTACAAACCTATTGTCTCGTTGTTAACCTATGGCCACGTTGTTACTAACCTATGGCCATGTTACTAACCTATGGCCACGTTGTTACTAACCTATGGCCACGTTGTTAGTGACCTATGGCCACGTTGTTAACCTACGGACATGTTGTTACTAACATATGGCCACGTTGTAACTAACCTATGGCCATGTTGTTACTAACATATGGCCACGTTGTTACTAACATATGGCCATGTTGTTACTAACATATGGCCACGTTGCGACTAACATATGGCCACGTTGTTACTAACATATGGCCACGTTGTTACTAACATATGGCCACGTTGTTACTAACCTATGGCCACGTTGTTACTAACCTATGGCCACGTTGTTACTAACATATGGCCACGTTGTTAGTGACCTATGGCCACGTTGTTAACCTACGGACATGTTGTTACTAACATATGGCCACGTTGTAACTGACCTATGGCCATGTTGTTACTAACCTATGGCCACGTTGTTAGTAACCTATGGCCACGTTGCGTCTAACCTACGGCCACGTTGTCATATAGGTACTAACCTATGGCCACGTTGTTACTAACCTATGGCCATGTTGTTACTAACCTATGACTACGTTGTTAGTAGCCCATGGCCACGTTGCGACTAACCTACGGCCATGTTGTTAACCTACGGCCATGTTGTTACTAACCTGTGGCCACGTTGTCACTAACCTATGGCCACTTTGTTAACCGATGGCCACGTTGTTACTAACCTATGACTACGTTGTTTCCAACCTATGGCCACGTTGTAAGTAACCTATGGCCACGTTGCTACTAACCTATGGCCCACGTTGTTACTTACCTATGGCCCACGTTGTTACTAACCTATGACTACGTTGTTACTAACCTATGGCCACGTTGCTACTAACCTATGACTACGTTGTTACTAACCTATGGCCACGTTGCTACTAACCTATGGCCCATGTTGTTACTAACCTATGACTACGTTGCTACTAACCTATGGCCACGTTGCTACTAACCTATGACTACGTTGTTACTAACCTATGGCCACGTTGCTACTAACCTATGGCCCATGTTGTTACTAACCTATGACTACGTTGTTACTAACCTATGGCCACGTTGCTACTAACCTATGGCCACGTTGCTACTAACCTATGGCCACGTTGCTACTAACCTATGGCCCATGTTGTTACTAACCTATGGCCACGTCCTGAGGAAACGCGAGTCCCCTGTTTAGGAGGACTCTTCTGTTGCTGCCGTCGGTGCTGCTCATCTCAATCTTGGGATAACTTCCTGCACAGGCCCAGAATAACCACCTTGTGATAAAGAGTTGCAAGATGATATTAACCACTTGATTTACAAATTGTTTATTTGTAATAAAGAAATATATTAAAATTAATAAAATGGGACAACCTACTGTTTTAATGCGATCTTATTGTGAGTAAGTATAGTTTTACGCCGCTTTTTGCAATATTCCAGCAATATCACGTCGGGGGACACCAGACATGTGCTTCACACATTGCAGCCATGTGGGGAATCGAACCCGGGTCGTCGGCGTGACGAGCAAACACCTTTACCACTAGGTCATCCCACCACCCCTGTGATCTATTAAAATATGTTTTAATCAACGACAATGAAATGTAAGTAAAGTGGGGTTTGAAGTGTTTTTTGCAATTTTCCCTTCTACTACAAAATATTTTAACAGTCTCGGTTGGTAGCCTTTCGGTAGGCGATTCTGTGAGGTAACAAATACACAACATCTGAAGAAAAGTGTTTTAATGTGTCTGCTGAACAACTTAACTAGACACGGCGGTGAAAAATATTCTATTCTACATAATATGCAGGGCAGAGATTCCGGATATAGAATCTATGAGAGGAGCTATTACACATGAAACATGCTCTTGACCCTACCAGGATCCGCTGATTAGAGGTTTGAATCCAATACTTTCAACACATTCACTTTCTAGTAACAAAAAGGTGAGGTGAGGTGAAATGGGGGTTAACGCCGCGTTCAAGATTATTGCACTTATATAGTGACGTGCATGCACGTGTGTGTGTGTGTGTGGTTGCTGATACTTGTCCAAAAAAATAGTACTAGTTTTATAGTACTAGCCCACTGAGATACCATCCTGCAGTCCTGTCAGGGATACACCACTCAGACACATTACAACTTTCCCCAGCAGTCTACCTTTGTTTTATCCCCTTAATGCTGAGCACTAGGAGGTGGGTGTGCGTGTATGCGTGTGTGTGTTTTTTTGTTTTGTTTTTGTTTTTTTGTTTTTTTGTTGTTGTTTTAGTTGTTTGTTTTTGTTTTGTTTTGGTTTTTTTGTTTGTTTTTTTTGGGGGGGTGTGTTAGTGGGTGGGTGGATGGGGGCGGGTCCATCAATAAAGTGATGGCGGCCTGCAAACAATCGAATTTGGACCAGACCAACCAGTGATTGATATTATGAGCCTGACCACCGATCGAAAATGACGCCCCTATTGACCCGGAATGCCCACGCGGTGCTCATAAAGTATATATACGAACCAAGGGCAGAAAAAAAGAGAGTAATTTTCATCTTTTGTAATAAAATGAAGTCCAAACGGCTACGTTCATATTTACCTATTCAAGGGATCCACCTCAAGTCCCTGAATCAGCGACAAGTCTGTATCTAGCAATGTTGTTTTGGCGCCTGTGTCAAGGGAGGCAACTGTGATTGTACCGGCTTCCTGGTCGGACCAGTACAGATTATGATGAACCCAGTCCAGAGTGATGCCGTTCGCTCTGAGTATCCCGGTAGTGTACAGTTGCTTGATGTTTGTTAAAGTCTTGTTTCCGGTTAAAGTTGCACTGAAGATAAAGGTTAATCTTGTGTTAAGTTATCAAAGCATCCAATTGTATTTTCTGGAAGTATTAATTGCATTGAATTGAGTGAAGATACAAGTTAATGTTGTATTACATTTTGAAATCATCAAATTATATTTTCAAGAAGCTTGAATTGATTTGGGTGAATAATGTTTTACCACACTGCACTGTGTGAACTATTCGCTGTAACATGAATGATGTCTGAAGCCGAGGGCGGTCGGGTAGCCCTGTGGTTAAAGCGTTCGCGTTAAAGCGTTGCTAAAAGCAGCGTAAAACCATACTCACTCACTCACTCACTCGGAAGCCTATTCATGCTACCCACCGACGTGATCTTGCCGTAATATTTCTTACAGCGGCTTTAAACCCAATGCAAAGGTTTGCCAGGCAAACCAGTGGTTTATATTTCGAACACGCGAAAGAGAGATAATCCATGCCACATAATCTGATCTCGAGATTCTCATGGGGATTATCACTGGCACTGCCTACCCATCATGCTCGGCATTGATGCTGGCTATTTTCAAGACTTGAAATACAAATATAACGACACATGTGATGATGAATAGCATCTACGGTAGCAGAGTGAGTTTGGGTCAGTGAGTTGTGTTCCAGTTATCACGGCGTGAGAGTTTGATGTGGGAGGAAAGCCTGAAGTGATGCAGGTCTTAGACGTTTACCACTTCGGTGAAACCCACGAGCACGGGTATGGTGCTGACAAACCAATATAGTCCTGAAACATAATCCTGGCGAACCGGAATTCGAAGCTACGATCATAGATCAAGGGACGCAACTCTGCACAGCGAATTGCGGCGCCTTTGACGACTGATTTCATGATTTCACTACTATTCATTATTCATCATTATTATTATAAATCAGTTTCCTCCTTTTTGAACAACAGACAATTCTTTTCAATCCGCACCCTCCCTGCAAGCTACACTTCACGACTCACGAGTTGATGGTGTTGTATCTGACGTCGGGCCAGTAGAGCGTCCTCTGCCTCACGTCCACAGTTAGACCGGAGGGATTCGGTCGCATTCCTTTGGCGGCAACCGGAAGTACAGAGATGTCATCGGTAGTTAGGTCCAAGACTAGCAAGTCCTGGTGCACGAACACCAACAGTAGAGGATCTGGAAAGAAATGTAGAATGCTCTCTGAGCAGCTGATAGAGCTCGCATTAGATGAAGAGCGATTAGGCATTTGCCAATACTTTATTTACGGATGATTTGTTCAAAAGGTTTGGTATTCAGAATGAAAATGAAAACGGACTTCAAATTCTGTGAATTCGGGTTTTGGGCCATTGCTTTGTTATTTTTCTTGAAATTTTAAGATGCTGATCTGAAATTTCATGATGCGATGTTGAAATTTCAAGCTTCTAACTTCACTCTCGACAAATTGAAATTTATTTCACATTTGGAAAATTAGCATCGTTAGATCCTTGAATCTGTAAATGCAAGGCCCTTCTTTTCCTGAGTGATTAATGTTTGAATAACGCCGTGCCATGTTTGTCACTGACGCTTCTTTAACCAATCAGACCTCGATTTCGACATTTCGATCATTACGAAAGAAAACCCACCTAGAGAACACTTACTCCCTTTCAGAGTGTAAATGCAATGACACTCAGTAATGACAGGATGTGTAAAATATCACTGACGGTGTGATAGCGGTGCCTTTATTATTTCCCTTTGGAACTACCTGTTTTCGATTCGATTTCGAGCTACAGATCCCCAAGCTATCAGATATCGGAATGCTTCGTTTTCTAATTTTAGAAGCCTCGACAGTTATTTGCCTATTAAACGGAGCGTTTGTCGTCAGATAATCACGAAGAGAAGTAACTGTGTCGTACCGGGGTAAAGACCCGAGAATAATGGCATTGGACCAGACATACCAGTGGTTGCTATAAGAGAAAAACGCCATGCTGTCGATTATAACGAGTTGCAGTCATCTACTTCACATCCACGGATTTGAATGTTGAAAGTGAACGGGCGTCTGCCAAAGACAGTAGTTTCATAGATGTCAGTGACGTCATATTATTTCGTTCAAGTGCCTGTAGGTCACTCACCGTTGTCCGTTCGTGTTGCAGTAACGGGTGGTCTTTTGACAGTCGGCAACGTAGTCGTTGTTGTGGATGTTGTCGTAGTTGGTGTGGTGAAAACAGTTGTTGTTGACGTCGATGAAGGCGTAGATGTGTCTGGAGTTGATGCTGTTTGTGTTGACGTGATGGAGCTTTGAGCTCCTTCTGTCGATGATGTCGTGTAAGGAGTAGTGTTTGAAGGGCACCGAGCCTCGTCCGAACCGTCAGCACAGTCCGGCTGTCCATCACACATCCACGGACTGGGGATGCACTGTCCTGACCTACACTGGACATATCTTGACCCGCATGTTGTGTCACCTGGAGGAACAAGACGATAGATGTTCTGGGCAAACATGTGTACAAGGCAAACAGATGTACTGGACAACAGATGTAGATTACAACCAGGTGTATTTGACAACCAGGTGTGCAAGACAACCAGGTTCCCTGGACAACAGGTGTAGAAGACAACCAGGTGTGCAAGACAAACAGGTGTACTGGACAAACAGGTGTGCAAGTCAAAGAGTTGTACTGGACAAACAGGTGTAAAAGACAAACATGTGTAAAAGACAAACAGGTGTACCGGACAAACAGGTGTACTGGATAACAGGTGTACTGGACAAACAGGTGTACTGGACAAACAGGTGTACTAGTCAACCAGGGGTACAAGAAAAACAGGTGTACAAGACAAACAGGTGTACTGGATAACAGGTGTGCTGGACAAACAGGTGTTCAAGACAAACAGGGGTACTTGACAAACAGGTGCACTAGACAGACAGGGGTACTGGACAAACAGGTGTACTGGACAAACAGATGCACAAGACAAACAGGGGTACTGGACAAACAGGTGTACAAGACAAACAGGTGCACTAGGTAACCAGGTGTTCAAGACAACCAGGTGTACTGGACAAACAGATATACTGGACAAACAGGTGCACAAGACAACCAAGTGTACAAGAAAAACAGGTGCACTAGGTAACCAGGTGTTCAAGACAACCAGGTGTACTGGACAAACAGGTGCACAAGACAACCAAGTGTACAAGACAAACAGGTGAACTCGACAAACATGATAGTATACTCACGTGGTTGAGATGTAAAGTTAACGTACCACAGTTCAGTTCATCGCTGTTGTCGGGGCAGTCCTGTTGGTTGTCACATTGCCATCGTTCAGGGATACACTTGCCGCCCCCACACATGAACCGCCCGGGAAGACACGCCCCTTGATGACCAGCTGACACACAAACACAGGCCAGAGGTTATCATAAAACGTATTGCTTTACGATTCCTAAGTTAAATGTCAGGGATGGAAAGAGGGCAATGAACTGAACGCGTATGGTGCTAACAAACCAAGGATTCGAACTCACGGTCAACAGATTCTTGCAAGATATGAAATACGACTCTATACAGCAAATCTTGGCGCCTTAGACGACCCGTAACGGTTCTTAAATATTGCTGTTTATAATACATGCGTACACATTGTTTGCAAGAAGCATTGTTTACACAGACAGGTAGAGAGAAACAAAGGGCCGTCAAGAAAGATGTTTTCAGCAAGTCGCTCACGTCCTATTTTCCAGACAATACATAGTTTGGACAGCATTATGTGTCTCTTCTATTTGTGAAAAGTGGTCGGGTAGACTAGTGGTTAAAGCGTTAGCTCGTCACGCCGAAGACCCGGGTTCGATTCCCGACATGGGTACAATGTGTGAAGCCCATTTCTGGTGACCACGCTTGAAAAATATGTTGACACAGTTCTCGATCAAAATTTTGAAAACTTAACAAACGAACATTCCGGAATGCCAAGTATATGGTTGAGATTGTATGGCAGTGCTTCCCACATTCTGTGCAACGCCTCCTCCGTTCAAATGTTTATCCTACGGAAGCAAGAAATAAGACGACCAGACGATAATTTTGACGGAATCAGTCGTTTGGGCCGTAGCTGTCGTTCGGAATACCCCGTGTTAACGTTTTCGAGGTTGCATGATTAGAAAACACATTCCGACTGTCACTTTCATGATCTGGTAAGCGAAGCTTGATTTGTTGGATGAAAAATCGTTCTGACGTGGCCCTTAATGGGATGTCCTCAGATCTTTGTTTGGCGATAGCGAGAACAAAGATCGGATTTTCCTAAGATTGTTAATACTACTAAATACTAAATATCGGTGACATCAAGGGGATGATGATGATGATGATGATGATGATGATGATGATGATGATGATGATGATCCTGGACAAGGGACAAGTGGTGCCAATGGCACAACGAGGTTCATATTCCCTTGGAGGGCTCACCTGTTGAGGAGGCTGATGTTGTTATTGTTGTTGAATGTTGTGATGGTGTTGGCGTTGGCGTTGGTGTTGGTGTTGGTGACGTTGATGTTAAATTCAAAGTTGTAACTGTAAAAGAAAGATAAAAAATATTTTATACGTTGACTAGATTTAATTAGCATGTTACAATATTTTATTGTTGTTGACCAAAAGGACAGCAAAAGTTCATTAATCTAGGCTCCATGACCAAGAAACCACAAGTAGTTCATAATAAATGAGGTTCACATATACATCTCTGAGATGAACATACTCACCACCAGTGGTCGTTGTGTTGGGGACGAATGTTGGATCATTTGTAATTTCAGGCACACGCGTATCATTAGATCTGGCCGGACCTGTACAACACGTATTCACTTATCAGGGAAGCGCTAGTCAAGCCACGTAAATCTTGTTTTATCAAAAGTCGGTTTGAAATAGATATCTACAGCTATGACACATAATCTTCATTGATGTGTTATTTTGCCCATTACGCCAAATGGAATCTGTTTATCGGGGGATAATCTGGACTGGCTATTCTTTTGCATTGACAATTTATATTTTATAATATTATTAAGTAGTAAATTACGAGATATTATGGATCCCGAGTAATTGGTATATTAGATACATCGGTGATAACTACATACACCTGATCTCGTCACTATCGTCCTCACAATCCGCCTCGCCGTCACACGTCCACGTCTTCGGGATGCATGTGTTGTCCGCACACTTGAACTCGGTGGTGTTGCACTTCACGGGTGCTGGAAACAGTGACGACAGTGACGATGACAACGACGACAATGAGTGAGTGAGTATGGTTTTACGCCGCTTTTAGCACTATTCCAGCAATATCACGGCGGGGGACACCAGAAATGGGCTTCACACATTGTGCCCATGTCGGGAATCGAACCCGGGTCTTCGGCGTGACGAGCGAACGCTTTAACCACTAGGCTACCCGACCGCCCCTCGACGACGATGAAATGGGGTTAACGATGATTATGACCATAACTTAGTGATAATGATACAAAGGGTATAATGATGATGACGACGGCGATGATGATGATGATGATGATGATGATGATGATGATGATTGCGTTTGGTGCCAATAACGAGGACAACGATACTGATTGAGTGTCACAATAAAGACAACGATGGCTCACCATAATGTGCATGTGTGTTGGAAACATATGATTCATAACGTACCACAAGACTCTTCATCAGATCCATCGATGCAGTCATTATCTCCGTCACACTGCCACACCTTCTTTATACACTTGTCATCCGCACACTGCAGCTCGTCAGCTGCACAGGTTGGGCCTACGTCACAACAAAGGGAGATAACACGTATCAACTTATGTCCACGTTGGCATTCTTTCATTCATCACCTTAATCATTTAATCTAATGCTACATGATGCATTTGGCTCTAAAGATCAGTGATAGGCTCACGATTTAATATTGAGAACATTTAACATATTTAATAACTACCTGTTGACAAATGTTGCTAAAATCACAATGGTACAGGCGTCAACATTTTCGTCTCGTTTGAACACTGATGAAGGCAAAAGCATTAAATTTTAAAGGATTGACTGTGTTTTCTTTTTCGATTAGCTGCCGCTGGGTTATCAGAAAGGTCACGGTCATTACAACATCTTACAGACACCTTCCGTGTTTACCCTTCCCACATAACATCTAAAAGGTACATGTATTTTGTTGACACTTTCATCGTATGGAAGTTGTGGAAATGATATTTGAGGTTGAAGGTATCGAGCCGATAGTGTTTGGAATTGTCACTTCGATCAGTGAAAACAGTTCAGACGTAAAATCTGTTCTGCGGTCTCAGAAAACATTTGAAACATTTGCACTCCATTTTGTCAAGTATTTCAAGGACTATAATGATCTTAGCTTAAACTTAAGTCCGGACCAGTGGTAAATTTTGACATAAGCCTACACTCGCTCTGTGGAAGTGGCTGGCGATTATAACTAAAACCTAAGATCCCGATCGTATAGATTTATACAATATTTGTAGGGATAGGGTTGTTTTGTGCAAGAGGATCCTGAAAGAAGGCGGCATGGCAAATGCCCTACATTCCATTGTGGCGGAAGTATTCCGTCTCGTTGTGTGTGGCGTATTTTAACTCCTTGTGAAAAACAAATGTAAAAGTAATTGACCTATTCTGCCAACCAGATTGCAAGAACTGCAATGGACACTAGGGCCGTGTATATATTCAATTATTCGTGCGTCTTTCTCACAAAATAATCATAAAGATATAAAATATGGATTCAGTTTTAATATTATTATACGAGAAATGTCATTCGCGTGATATCATACGACTTACGACAATTGGCCTCATCAGTGCCGTTAGGGCAGTCGGGCTCCCCATCACACAGCCAGATTGTCTTGATGCAGATGTTTGCGTCGTTCCGGCACATCACCTGATCTGGCGCACAGGTCTTCCCACCTGAGGAAACCATGTTTCTTTCTTCCATAATCACAGGGAAATACAGGTATGGTGGCATGCACAGAAACATATACCTGCATATTGAGAAGGTGAGGTGAAATTGGGTTTAACGTCGCGTCCAAGATTATCGCACTTATATAGCAACCTGCATGCACGTGTGTGTGTGTGTGTGGCTGCTTGTACTGGTCCGGACTGATGCCGATTTATAGTGCTAGCCCACTGAGATACCATGCCGAAGTTTAATATGAATACCCCACTCAGACACAGTATACTGACTCCGAGCCGACCAGTCCTTGTTTTAGCCCCTTAATGCCGAGCGCCAGACAGGGTAATATTGAGAGGGAACAGTCCAGTGACTACTACTACTACTACTACTACTACTACTACTACTACTATGTAAGGTACTAATGGCATGGTCTACACAGCAACATGGTGTGAAAATGTATACCACTCAAAAAAGTCGAAGAAGAGCCAGTTCCTCCATGGCAAGACATGGCAGATTGACTACAGTGATATCAAAGAATCGGGTGTTCTTTAACGTCTTTCGAGTAGTATAATTTCAGTTCATGGGTGTGTTTTAATCTACATTAATTTACAGTTACATTTTATCCAGTTCAACCTGGTAGATATGATAAATTATGATTACAATTTAAAGTCTTGCTTCCTCAGAATATCAACCATGATGTCATATGCCGTTTTAGGGCCGGTTTTGTAATTAGCAGAACCAGCAACCTCTTATTTTGCATTTGAATACGTTAGAATCTTTCTCCTTACTTACATTCTTCTTCATCACTCCCGTCTATACAGTCCTTCTGTCCATCACAGACTGACCGCTGCAGGACACACTTCTTGCTGCCGGACACACAGGGTGCCGTGAACGGAGGACAGGTGATGCTCTCTGTTAACAGAGAGTGATTGTGTGTGAGGTGTCGACACTTTTAGCAAATCACTGTACAGTGGGGACAAGACTTGGCTTCCCACACTGTACCCATGTAGAGATCCGAACCCATTTTTTCGGAGAAAAGAACGAATCATTTAACTACTAATCCTCCCAAAAGCCTGACGTATGAATATATCATCAATTGTGGTTATAAAATGAATATCTGGGACAGCAAATGATGATCAGTATTAAACTTCTGTCTTTGTTGGGCGTGATCTGCGTCATGCGACGCCTTGTTGAATGTTCGGCGTTATAAAAGTCCTGTACTCCTGATGGAGAGAGAAAGAGACTGAAGTGGAGGGCCGTCGTCACGTCACTCACCACAGTTGTTCTCGTCGCTGCCGTCCTTGCAGTCCCTTTCGCCGTCGCACCACCAGTCTGCACTGATACACGCGTCATATGATGCACAGGACACGTACTCTGGTCGACACGTTATCTCACCTTCAACACCAATAACCTTACACTACATTGAACATCGCGTTTGTTAATGAGAAATGAATTCATTTTTTAACAATGGAAATCTTCTGCAAGTATACTCAACTTTTCAGTTCTACGTTGATTTGTTTTATCACTGATGTAGATTATTTTAATTACAAAAAACAAACATTACAACGAATATGCTCTTAACATATATATTGCAGCTCAAGCCGACACAGTGAGTAGATATGTAGTCATAAGTATTATAACAATCCAACGGGTTGTAGTTACAAGTATTAGTTGAATATTTTGTTTTAATCAATTGCTAATAACGAAATATAATTTCGAAAGAAGACGGAATTCCTTCGTTCAAATGGAAATATTATATATAACAGTCATGGTGGTATTACGAGGAAGAGAGTTTTATTCCTACCACAGTTGATCTCGTCACTGCCGTCCTCACAGTCCTTGTCCAAGTCACAGCGCCAGTGGTTGGGGACGCACTGATCGTCACACTCAAACTCCGCCCCCTCCCGACACACACCTGGCACATACAACAGGTAGTATAACACCTTGTCCCTACACACACCTGGCACATACAACAGGTAGTACAACACCTTGTCCCTACACACCTGGCACATACAACAGGTAGTATAACACCTTGTCCCTACACACCTGGCACATATAAAAAAGGTAGTATAACACCTTGTCCCTACACACCTGGCACATACAACAGGTAGTATAACACCTTGTCCCTACACGCACCTGGCACATATAAAAAAGGTAGTATAACACCTTGTCCCTACACACACCTGGACAGATACAACAGGTAGTATAACAGCTTCTCCCTAAACACACCTGGACAGATACAACAGGTAGTATAACACCTTGTCCCTACACACACCTGGCACATACAACAGGTAGTATAACACCTTGTCCCTAAACACACCTGGCACATACAACAGGTAGTATAACACCTTGTCCCTACACACCTGGCACATACAACAGGTAGTATAACACCTTGTCCCTACACACCTGGCACATACAACAGGTAGTATAACACCTTGTCCCTACACACCTGGCACATACAACAGAGAGTATAACACCTTGTCCCTACACACCTGACACATACAACAGGTAGTATATCACCTTGTCCCTACACACCTGGCACATACAACAGGTAGTACAACACCTTGTCCCTAAACACACCTGGCAAATACAACAGGTAGTATAACACCTTGTCCCTAAACACACCTGGCACATACAACAGGTAGTACAACACCTTGTCCCTAAACACACCTGGCACATACAACAGGTAGTTTAACACCTTGTCCCTACACACACCTGGCACATACAACAGGTAGTATAACACCTTGTCCCTACACACCTGGCACATATAACAGGTAGTATAACACCTTCTCCCTACATACACCTGGCACATATAACAGGTAGTATAACACCTTGTCCCTACACACACCTGGCACATACAACAGGTAGTATAACACCTTGTCCCTACACACCTGGCACATATAACAGGTAGTATAACACCTTCTCCCAACATACACCTGGCACATATAACAGGTAGTACAACACCTTGTCCCTAAACACACCTGGCACATACAACAGGTAGTTTAACACCTTGTCCCTACACACACCTGGCACATACAACAGGTAGTATAACACCTTGTCCCTACACACCTGGCACATATAACAGGTAGTATAACACCTTCTCCCTACATACACCTGGCACATATAACAGGTAGTATAACACCTTGTCCCAAAACACACTTGGCACATACAACAGGTAGTATAACACCTTGTCCCTACACACCTGGCACATACAACAGGTAGTATAACACCTTGTCCCTAAACACACCTGGCACATACAACAGGTAGTTTAACACCTTGTCCCTACACACACCTGGCACATACAACAGGTAGTATAACACCTTGTCCCTACACACCTGGCACATATAACAGGTAGTATAACACCTTCTCCCTACATACACCTGGCACATATAACAGGTAGTATAACACCTTGTCCCAAAACACACTTGGCACATACAACAGGTAGTATAACACCTTGTCCCTACACACCTGGCACATACAACAGGTAGTATAACACCTTGTCCCTACACACCTGGCACATACAACAGGTAGTATCATGAGCATCGATCCACGCAATTGGGATACGATGGCATGCACCAACCAAGTCAGCGAGCCTGACCACCCGATCCCGTTAGTCGCCTCTTACGGCAAGCATGGGTTGCTGAAGTCCTATTCTACCCCGGATCTTCACGGGTCAATTGGGATGAGTGTCCGACTGACTCCCTTAACATAGTCCCGGGTACATTAACTCACTCTTAGTTGACAAAGTTTCTATAGGTCAAATGCTGGAAAGTAAAGTTACATAATTGCTACATAATTGCCTTGAGGATGTCATACTGCAAAATATCACGTCTCTGAGATCCCAGGAACCTGTTCAGACAGCTGGTGTTCGCCCACAATTCTAACACCTCAGTGTTGACAGCTTATTGCGCCACAAGATCAACTACAAGCATGGCTAATTAAAGGTCCGACTTTTCCCAGCGTAGCAAGATGCTGGACGAATGAAGCTCCTACTTACTGTATGGTCGCATTGTTATATGCATTGTGTTTGACACAATTGACACAATTTACGACACAGCATGAAACACGTTGTTACGCCGTCTCCGCGATAACGTTTACAGCAGACTCTGTGGTCGATAAAATATACCATAGTATACACAGTTGTGTATTAACGCGACTTCACTTATTTTCAAATACATGTATGCAAAATAGGTCAGATCTCTTTTTATTGAGGATTTGAATATATTTCAAAGTTTTATTTTAGAAAAAGTCTATTGTAGGTACATTTAAGTTTAAAGTTTGACGAACCATAGTGTACACGTATTGCAGTTTTGGCCTCTTCAGTTGAAGCACTTCACTTATTAAAGCAACTACCCCTTATGACATACGCATTTGATATTGATATTAATATTGATATATTAACTTATACAAACCACACTTGTATACGAAACCAGTCCCATTCGATGTGAGTTAGAATATAAAGTTCAAGATGATAAGTAAATTCCATTGGTTTGAATATTGAGTAGATATCAACAACAAAACTATCAATTGTACGATGGGTTATTTCAGTGTAAAATGTATCTTACAACAATATTTTAGTTACTTTTAAAACTTTCATTATACAAAAAGCGAAAGATATAATGTAACTATTCAAAGATCTACTATGTGTTCCCCATTTCACTCGGAAATTCTATGCAATGGCTTAGTGGAGTAAGGACAGTGTTACATCGCTTTTAGCAGTGAAAACGTATTGGTCCGGACACTGTTATTGCGGAAACCCCTCCTTCGTGACGATGCTGTGGAAAATGTTAACATAATTCAAGAAGATATAACTCAGAATCCTTAATTTGTTATTCCGGACATTTGATAATCTGGATGATTTCATTGAACCGTACCGTCCGGATTAACGAGGTATCCAAGGCATATCACGCCGGTGAGGAGTCGAACAATGATCTTCGAGGTGTAACAGCCAACGTTTTAACCACTAGGCTCCCCCAGCGCCACACTGTCAGAGCGACGCCTCTTCACCACTCACGCTTAGAGATAGTATACAAACTTTTTGACAAGTATAACCTTACATCTACATGTAAAAGGGAGTGCACCGCATCTTGACCAACCATCACCCTCACGGTTTTACATTCAGGTCATATACAGAAGTCAAGCAGAAGGTATGTTTTGTACAAACAGTTGCGTGAATTACTCCGCAGGAGAATATCCAGGTCAACACCAGGTCACCATTGCGATGACCTGTGTCGGAGTAACATTGTGTACCGGAAGTACTTGAACTGGAGGTCAGTACGGTGTCAACGTGGCTTGTTGACGTGCTTGATATATACCTCCGCCAAACACATACTGACCTTCACTGGCTTGAAAGTAAAAGTAACGAGTCCTGGCTTGTGCCAGCACTAATAGAATACAAGGGGCTTCAAAGTTTATGAATATAATTATTCATACTCCCATAGAAAGATTACAACAACGGTATATTGTACATAAACTATTGTAGAAAATCCATCGCAGGGTGTAAAGGTGAATATTAGCACGCATCTTTGCGTTAGACCAATCTACTGCCAGACATCCGTTTTATCATTTTTCGCTTCTTTTATGTTTTCGCTTTAATATAGTATTGTTTATATGTTATAGAGTATACTAAGAAGTACATCCAACCGAAAGAAAGAAATATGAATTCGAGTGTACTTTCTTGTATCACCTATAAAATCAGTAATCAATCATTACAGATCAGTAGCAAAATGCAAGCATTAAAAGTAGGTCGAAGTAATATATCATATGATATCAAGGATTTATGAAAACGTATAACGTAGCGATAACTTCGTGAGCATTAGACAACGTATGGCCACGTCCATGACATTATAAAACAATATCCTATACCAGAATTATTGCTTTCGCACCAATAGTCCCAACTATTTGAAATAGCATAATGAACAGATATGTAACATAACCCTACATTTCAAATTTGATATCAGATAGGAAAGTAACACCTCTTCATAAATGATGATATTTATATATGACAATGATGAGAGCTATGGTCATTGAAGATCATACTCACGGCCTTCGGACGCTTGCAGCAGAAATACAATCAGCACGAACAACCACCTCGCTTGATACACAATGTCTGTCATATTCGTGTGTTTGTTGTAGTCCGTGACAGAATCGTCCTATTTATGCCATGTGTGAGGTGTCTAGCTCAACACCATTACTACAACGTGTTGGAGCTCGTTCCTGGCGGGTTCCGTATCTACTTGGAGCTATTGTGACGTCATCTAGGGCCCGGATGCACCTCGTTCAGGGGGGATAGAAAATAGCCAAATGCGCGTGACCAATAACCAATGTCATAGAAATGCTTCCATATATTTCATGCTGTTGGTTTGTTTGGTTTGGTTTGGTTTGGTTTGTTGACAAAGACAACAGTTTAATATTTATGAGTCGATATCAAGGAAAGAGAAATAGTATAGAGTTTACCTGCAGCATCATTTTTCCATCTCCTAGCGTACATATGCCACTCGGGGCAAAGGGCAAATTTGCGTTTACATGACTCAAAAGCTTCAAAAACTTTCGGTCTGACATAGGACAGCGCACAGATTCCTGCAATTATTATTTGGAGTGTGTTGCTTGTGGCGTTTGGAAAGAAGATATTGATGGATGACTATCACTAGATTGTCTGGACCGGACTCTATTGTTCAGATGCCGCCGTCGTATCACAGGGGTATTGTGGCTGCAGCTTCAGGCAACACATAAACAAACACTTTCTCATGCAAATGGTGTAAGAGGGTGCTTCCGGTAGAGCACGACATATTTAACATTAACATCTAGTGTATCACTAATTTTCGGTCGTCCATTCAAATAATTTTCATCACTATTTTGCCCTTTGTGGAGCCTGTTTCGGCGGAAAGTCGAGACAGTTATTCCCCGGCCTAAGTAAAGAGTTCAACAGGGTAAATGATAGTCATGTGGATGGCATTTCCAAATTTGACGCACCAGTGACAAAAAGTATGTCCAGTGCATTTATCTATTTCGACTTGTACCATGTGTTTCCGTGTCTGTTCAGGTGAACATTGGACTCCACCATTGGAGCTGGATACGCTCACCTCTTAACGAACACGTGGCATCATCACTTTTTGATTGTGATTAACACGTCCCATTTTTATTCTGGAAATCCAAAAGTCCAGAAACTCTACGGTCTTTGCCCAGTCTCGGTTAAAGGTATTTACAAAATTAAACATGCCGTTTTCATGGGAACGTACCAAGGAAGAAAAAATGAAAAAAAAATTGTTTAAAAACTCAATATTTAGACTATGTCGCCCATGGGCCTGCCCATGGGCGAAGTCTGGCCCATGGGTAGGCCCATGCATATGGGCAGGACCATGGGCGAGAATATGTTCCTTTACTTAAAACTCAAGTATTTGTTTAGCAAATACATTTAATGTATTCATTCAAGTATCATGACACAAAATTTAACTCATTTTAACTTAATTCAACGATTTTATAGCGATATTGAAATATTTCGCCCATGGGCGAGAAAAAGGTTTGGCTTATGGGCGAGAATATGTTCCTTTACTTAAAACTCATGATTTTGTTTCGCAAATACATTAAATGTATTTATTGAAGTATCATGACACAAAATTTAAGTTATCATTAATGAACACATTCTTGTGGTATATTCGGAATCGTCCAATGGACTCTGCTTTTAGCAGAGACTTTTAATAGTTATGGAAATGGTTTTGTCACTTTGGACAAACATCAGCCGGAAACGTTGGTTCAGGAAACTAAAACAGGTTGTGTATAATGACAAATGCAGGTTCACGGATGTCTGCATGGGATGGTCTCTGGTACACAACTCTAGGGTGTTCGCTAATCATCACGATCATATGATGGCACATGCGATCATATGATCACCTGTGCACCTCCAGTCATAACAATGGAAGAACCGAGTTGGAATGGCTAACTATGAAAAATATATGCCCGACCATAGGTTTACTGGCGACCAAGCGTACTTCACCACCATTGTCAGCACGGATATAGTACCGCCAAACCAAGGAGTGTGGTCAGGCCGAACTATCACTGGAGAATTCGAAGGCATCACATTAATTCGGCACTCAGCAGTACACTATGACCACTGAAACACATTTTGGTTCCTGCTTGGAACGGAAGAGGCGAAGAGCGTATATGTAGATGTTCCTATACACTGACTACAGCTCCCATGTCAAGATGACAAGCCATAATATCAAATGAGCCGGTTGCAAGTGGGGAGTTTGGAGTACCGTATTCGACGTAATAAGTACCCAGGGAACTCTCAAAATTAGAAATAGGGGGCTCTTAATAGAATATTATTTTGGTGGGGAAAAAAACAGAGTTGAAAGATAAATTTCGTGGTTTATGATGACAGCCTGAAATGTTTATATACGATAGATATATTTTTCCTGAATTTAATTGCCCATAATTAAGGGTGCATATAACACTCGAGTGCGTATTATACGCGAATAAATAAGTCTTGTGTAAATTGATCAATCGGAAGGGGTGCTAATTGGGATTGTTCACTAGCCAATATATCAGCAAATATCGCCGTGGGTGCTTATTAGAGCGGGGCGCTTATAACGTCGAATACCGCCTCCGTGGTCTTGTGGTAGAGCGTCCGCCCGGAGAGCGGAAGGTCCGGGGTTCGATCCCCAGCCGCGTCATACAAAAAGACGTTAAAAGATTGTACTTGTTGTTACCCTGTCTGGCGCTCGACATTAAGGGGCTAAAACAAGGACTGGTCGGCTCGGAGTCAGTATACTGTGTCTGAGTGGGGTATTCATGTTAAACTGCGGCATGGTATCTCAGTGAGCTAGCACTATAAATCGGCATCAGTCCGGACTAGTACAAGCAGCTACACACACACATACACGTGCATGCACGTCGCTATATAAGTGCAATAATCTTGGACGCGACGTTAAACCCAATTTCACCTCACCTATTACGTCGAATACGGTATTTCAGTATAAGGGGATAATATACAATGTAGTATTGGCTACGACTGACAGGAGGGCATCTTAAGACATGTTTATGACGTTCAGTCCAGGAAAGCCGAAAAGGGACAAGTGGCTGGACCTTGGATGTAAAACAGTTGCTAATCAGATCTGGGTTTGGAGAAGCGTGGATGGGACAAGGCGCTAGAAATGAAGATCTATTTATTCAGCAATTCACCCAACATTGTAAGGATGTGGATGTTCAATTTTGGAATGATGTTGTCTTATCTTACGCAAATTAAGATTTTTTAAACTTGCTAAATTAGAATTCTGTAAAACGGAACTTATATTTCCTCTATCATATGGCTTTGTGTAAGTTGATGTTCTAGTAATAACTTAACGATGAACAGGGAAGATTGTGTAATATTGACAGAATATTTATTGCCGATTTTGCATTATTGTATCTGTCGAAACAGAATATCATTTTTGGCTCCGGTGTCCATTTTATGCGAGACTAAGAGAAATTATTTGTCTTATGTTTTAAGTTTAATTATGAACATCCAACGCAAGAAATAAATACAGAGCTGTTTGTATAGTCCAACGCAGATCTTATCAACAGGTCAGCTTAATTCATATACCTAGGACTCAGAAACGTACTAATTACCTTTGTTACAAACTTCACAAAAACATACCGTACCTTTTAATATATTATATGAAATATTGTACATTTAAAATATTGATACCCTGAGTTGGCGCTGTGTAGCTGTAAGCCATGTCTCCCTGTGACCCGTATAATGTCCTCTTTTCGGAATAAACTGTATCACGCTTAAAAATCACTACAGTAACTGGAATACTGAAAAACCCAATTCACTCACTCATATCAGTTCAGTTATACCCATCGCTTCTCCCGAAGCATAGGCCGCCGACAACAGTCCGCCCGAGTCCTCGGTCCTGGGCTGCCCTCTCTAGTTGGCCCTCCAGGTGTGTCCCATCTTCTCGCTGTCTATATTAATTACGTTGTGTGTAATGTTTTGAATGATGCCTTTTGTTCCCCCATTAAGTCGGTATCAGCAAATATATGGGAAATCAGGGCAGGGAGACTTGTCTTGGAACATTTGAATCTAACTTGCTTGGACTGACAATTTGTCCAAGTCGCCTGGGTCTTCCTCAGGTTTAGCACTGGTACTTCGTCTGTCTGACAGTGTAAGTTTGATTGAATCATCATTGATTTTAGTTGAGGGACGTCTAGACCTGAGGTCATCATCAAGGCTTGTTCTCCCAGCCTTAAACATAGTTATCCAACGTTATCCCCATACGCTTGTGACATGCGGTCATGAATTTCTTAGGAAGTACTTTTCTCTTAAGTCAAAAACTGGATGACTGCTCGGTTTTCGTTCTTTTCCATTTCTGTGTCCATTTGGACCCCTATCACCTTCAACTGGCTGTCACTAATATACAAACGGCCTCAACAGACCAAATACACTTGCAATGAACTACTCAAACATTGTACTGCATGGACTAGTTTACTTTGGTATGGCCCAATGTTGAAAATTAGTCAGGCTTAGAACTTTTTGACCAGCCCTCGTATTACTAAAGGTCACATGTGTTCATTTAATGTGCAACAGGATTAATTAGCGCCTTTTACTTTGACCATTTCGCTAAGTTCTGGGCGTAGATAGATCTCAGATCCCAGAGCCGTCCATGTTATATGGATCATAGGTAAGGTGAGGTGAAATGGGGTTTAACGTCGCGTCCAAGATTATTGCACTTATAAAGCGACGTATATGGATCATAGAAAGATAGACTTCGAATTCGTTGTATTGTTCATTCGTGTTTCTACGATGGTTTAAACTCGGGTTAGTATTCTTGTAATCGTTCGCTCGGAAACGAGAAGTCTCTTATTCCATTTCTTAAAATCAGTCGTACATAGACAGTGAGCCACTCACATATAACTTTCCATACCCCATAAGTATAATATGATGCAATGCAAGATATCATGCGTTTTCATCGTAATCGCAGCAGCTATCATTTGGAGAGACTCGTATAAAAAGAAATAACAACGCTTGAGAAATAATAACATTTTATAATAATCACAGTATTTGTTTATTGACAGTTGTTAAAACCAAAAAAGTATATTCCACGCCAGAAAAACAACAACATAATGACTGTTTATACAAGGACCTGGATGCCGTTTCTGGTGCCGTGATCTGTAAAAAAAAAATGTCTGAGTGACTGTTTGACTGATCGGGTAACCTTCGTACGCCTGCAGCTGTTCGTGGTGAGAGATTGTACCAGAACGTAACACAGTAACTCTCAATGTTCAATGACCCGTGAAGATCCGGGATAGAATAGGTCTTCAGCAACCCATGCTTGCCGTAAAAGGCGACTATGCTTGTCGTAAAAGGCGACTAACGGGATCGGGTAGTCAGACTCGCTGACTTGGTTGATGCATGTCATCGATCCCAATTGCGTGGATCGATGTTCATGATGTAAATCACTGGATTGTCTGGTCCAGACTCGATTATTTACAGGCCGCCGTCTTATAGCTGGAATATTGTTGGGTGCGGCGTTAAACAAAAAAAAACACAAAAAAACAAATTCAATGTTCAATCCCAATGGGTACGTATGCCTTGAGGTGACATTGGACGTTTAGTCAATATACGTGTGTGCTATTCGTGGAAGGCGAGTAGTTGGTTGTGCTCGTGGGGATTCGTGACTGTTCTTCATCATGTTCACAAGAAACCGTTGCTGTCAGAACAGAAGGTATTAGTTCTCCACTGCCGTGCCTTTATCGCCCTATAAAATACCCTCACTGGTCCTCCTTTCTTTTTTTCAAAGACATAAATGGTTCATAAGTTTTATTCTTTTCTAATTCCCGGTAGGCAAGCCTTCATGTCACCCAGGGCGTTTATTTGTTTATTTATAGATAAAAAGAATGTAGATTTATTTCAAAATAGATTCCGACCAACAAGTAAACCATCAAAAAAAGTTTCTTCAGTCGGATCTGGAGCCGAAAAATATAATTGCAAACTGCCAGGCAAAATAAAGTTTACACCCATGTTTGATGTTGGCTAAAAATGAAAGGAACAAAAAAATGTTATTCGATAGTGGTGTATTTGATACGGGTTGTGTTTTGGACTTTAAGTTTGAAGTGTTTCGGCGACTGTTTTCAGCCTAGTATGTTTTGATAACGTTTGTATTTTTTTAATCCAACTTTTAAGTGTATCGTTTCTTTTGCCCGGCGCTTTATGTTCTTGATAATAAGGATAAAACACAAGTTGATATTTAAATGTCATTTACTAATACTGACCTGTAGGGTGCAGTTGGTCACATAGCTGTCATAGTTGACATCGTCTCTGCTGTCGCAGCTATTTACCTTCACAGTCAAAGAAGGCAGGGACACACTCACCATTTGGACACTGCTTCGCGCCAGGCTGGCAAGATTTGCCTGAAGTGGAGTTTATAGGTTGAATGAAGTGATCGTAAAATCCTCAAATTTAGCAATTAAACATGCACATTAAACCCACAAACGGTTGATTAAAAATAAATTTATTGCATTCACAATATATCCAAGATATACGGTATGACGATAATACTATCACGTATGAACACAGTGAAAAGATAATATCAGTCAGAATAAACAATGTGATTAGTATGTAATTATAGACATGCTTGCCTCTTGCACATCACTGTATGTGTATAGGCGTTAAAGGCTATTTGTTAAGCTGTTAAAAATGAGGTGAAATTGGGTTAAATATCGCCTTCAATACTGTTGCACTTATATTTTAAGACGTTTAAAGATGGCCTGTCAAAACCCCTTTGCAAATGACTAAAAGGAGGCAATAAGATATGGCGGGATGAGTATTATTTATGTGTTTTGAAAGGCTCATAGTTCTGACTTAACCATGTAGTGGGGCAACACACGTATACATGTAGATCTATATCGTATACGCATCTACAGGCATCCATCGCATCTTTATTAACATTTGCTATTGGTTCTGCTTTGATACAGTATCTCTTCCAAACACACGATCGCTCACTGAACTGTCACAAGCAGACCTCAATTAATCCAGGTATGAAGGCAAGAGACCAAATTCACGGGGCAATAAGGGACGTAACTCTTGCTTGTACCTGACAGCTGCACTGCTGTTTGCAAATTTACTGGTCGGCCGACATAGTCCGGCTTACGCTGAATCCACTATACTGTTGGATTTTATTATTTGATTCAATATATAACGACACATAGCGAACCCTCGTCATTAATTCATCTCTCTCTGTATCTCTTTCTCTCTCTCGCTCCCTCCCTCTCTCTCTCTCTCTCTCTCTCTCTCCCCCTCACCCCTCTCTATCGCTCCCTCCCTCTCTCTCCCTCTCTCGCTCACCCCCTCTCTCTCTCGTTCCCTCTCCCTCTCCCTCTCCCGTTCTCCCTCACCCCTCTCTCTCTCTCGCTCTCTCTCACCCCTCACTCTCTGTCGCCGCCTCTCTCTCCCCATCTCTCTCTCTCTCTCTCTCTATCGCTCCCTCCCCTCTCTCTCTGTCTCTCTCTCGCTCACCCCTTCTCTCTCTCTCACTCCTCTCTCTCCCCCTCCCTCGCTCTCTCTCACCCTCTCTCTCTCTCCATCTCTTTCTCTCTCTCTCTCTCTCTCTCCATCTCTTTCTCTCTCTCTCTCTCTCTCTCTCCATCTCTTTCTCTCTCTCTCTCTCTCTCTCTCTCCCTCTCTCTCTCTCTCTCTCTCTCTCTCTCTCTCTCAGTGGCGTGTGGCCAATAGATAGTTCCTACTCACAGTTGACTTCGTCGCTGCTGTCGGGGCAGTGGGGATAACCGTCGCAGACGGAGCTACTGCTGATGCAGTAGATGTCACTGCAGCTGAACTCTCCATCTGGACATTGGCTGGACTCTACATACAGATAATAAGTGATGACAGTTAGTATACTGGACATTGGCTGGACTCTACATACAGATAATGGGTGGTGACAGTTTGCATACTGGACAATTGCTGGACTCTACATACAGATAATGGGTGATGACAGTTTGTATACTGGACAATGGCTGGTCTCTACATACAGATAATGGGTGGTGACAGTTTGCATACTGGACAATGGCTGGACTCTACATACATATAATAGGTGATGACAGTTTGTATACTGGACATTGGCTTGACTCTACATACAGATACAGGATGATGACAGTTTGTACACTGGACATTGGCTGGACTCTACATACAGATAATGGGTGGTGACAGTTTGTATACTGGACATTGGCTGGACTCTACATACAGATAATGGGTAATGACAGTTTGTACACTGGACATTGGCTGGACTCTACATACAGATAATGGGTGATGACAGTTTGTACACTGGACATTGGCTGGACTCTACATACAGATACAGGGTGATGACAGTTTGTACACTGGACATTGGCTGGACTCTACATACAGATAATAGGTGGTGACAGTTTGTATACTGGACATTGGCTGGACTCTACATACAGATAATGGGTGGTGACAGTTTGTATACTGGACATTGGCTGGACTCTACATACAGATAATGGGTGGTGACAGTTTGTACACTGGACATTGGCTGGACTCTACATACAGATAAAGGGTGATGACAGTTTGTACACTGGACATTGGCTGGACTCTACATACAGATAATGGGTGGTGACAGTTTGTATACTGGACATTGGCTGGACTCTACATACAGATAATGGGTAATGACAGTTTGTACACTGGACATTGGCTGGACTCTACATACAGATAATGGGTGATGACAGTTTGTACACTGGACATTGGCTGGACTCTACATACAGATACAGGGTGATGACAGTTTGTACACTGGACATTGGCTGGACTCTACATACAGATAATAGGTGGTGACAGTTTGTATACTGGACATTGGCTGGACTCTACATACAGATAATGGGTGGTGACAGTTTGTATACTGGACATTGGCTGGACTCTACATACAGATAATGGGTGGTGACAGTTTGTATACTGGACATTGGCTGGACTCTACATACAGATAATGGGTGATGACAGTTTGTATACTGGACATTGCCTGGACTCTACATACAGATAATGGGTGATGACAGTTTGTACACTGGACATAGGCTTGGTATTAACACAAAGCCTCCTAGTCATACTTCATTTTGCCGTATTACCGTATAAACGCATTATATGTCCCACCAATATTTCTTATTGTTGAACATATATGCATATATGCAGAATATTTATGGCTTTATAAAATTAAACGCTTTTGTAAATTTTCATAATTCAAACAGTGCCATTGATCTGACCATTTTGAAACATGGTTATATATTTCTTATTCTCCGGCATTCTCACATTTGAACTAGACATGACTGTTCAGATACTGCTAACATAATGGTGATGTTTGTTTGTTGTCTTTTTGTTTAACGCCGCACTCAGCAATATTCCAGCTATATGGCGGCGGTCTGGAAATAATCGAGTCTGGACCAAACAATCCAGACTGAGTGATTTACATCATGGGCATCGATCCACGCTATTGAGACACGATGACATGCATCAACCAAGTCAGCGAGCCTGACCACCCGATCCCGTTAGTCGCCTCTTATGACAAGATTGTGGTAGTGACATATTCATTGAAATGTGAACACACAATACAAATCTTATCTCTCTGAACTGTTTGCGTATGCAAGAAACGGTGAGATTGAAAAAAACAAAATCGGTTGATACAATCTAAACATTTACCAATCTGACAATTCCGTTTATCCGATATTGTGTCTGGCATCTTTTTGGTTCCCATTATATCAATTCAAGTAAAAACGAACCGGATATATGCCACTAAAAAAGTGAAGGACCGTCTGATTCTTTCACATTATTATAGTTAGTCTATCATGGCATCGAGCGGTCCTTAACTTTTTTGAGTATATATTGGATAATCATGCAGTTTCGTAATTTCCGAGGAAGACCCCCATTCCTCTTGTAAAAAACCTCCAAGGCATATTTAATTTCTTCGTTTCGTTTTTCGTGGGTTTTGTAATATTCAATCCTTATACCTATTATACACATTGTATCGGAGCTTCAGCAATCATATTTTGTACAAACCACAATCGTTCTCGTCAGCGCCATCCAGACAGTCCCGATAGATGTCGCACTTGCGGACCTTGTCGATGCACCGACGCCCGTTGTCACAGCTGATTTCCGAGTCGAAACATTCACGCTCATCTAGAAACAATAAATACGATGCGGGAATGACGTTTGGACACGTGATGTTGACATTTTCACATTATGACCAAATCTCAAACAGCAACATGTCCTGATACATACTGGCTCCTGGCTAGTGTATAGATATGATATGATATGATATAATATGATATGATATGATATGATATGATATGATATGATATGATATGATATGAAAAAATAATAATTATTATGATAATGTAATAATATATATGACTATTATATTATAGAGATAATAGTTAAAAGAGTCACAGTTCAAGGTTAATAAAATAATGTGGCATCGTAGACTCTCAGTTATATCACGGCGTGTCAGCAGAGATGCGACCACAGCGACTCGGGTATATATTTGACGTTTATCACTTTGGTACAGAAAACAATGTATCCTTTCAAGGTAAATTTGAGGTTCAAACCTAAGATCAGAAATCCTAGCACACCTAAAGGGAGACAACTCAGCCCAGTGAATTGTGACGCCTTAGGCGACCGGGAGGCCTATGCCCTTAGATAGCACAGAGACGCCCTTCAATGAAGTTTAATAATATTATGCATGCACTCACCGCAATATATTTCGTCGGTTCCATCTTTGCAGTTGGCGTTACCGTCGCACGTGAGAACGCCGTTGATGCACTCACCGTCCCCACACTGGAACTGTCGAGAGGTGCACTCAACAGCTCCTGCAGGAACAGATCGACGTCAGTTCAACATGTGCAACGACCTCGAATGTCAGACATATTAAATGTCATGAATATGAAATATGGATGTTACTGGTGTAAAATTTGTATATGTCACCAGTACAATATATACTCATTACCAAAAGAAACGCGAACCATAGAAACATACAGAGAAGTATGTACGTTAAGAACAGATGTTTTCAATGTGTACCAATTAATGACAAACTAGTGTTACAACGGAGTGCCTTTGTTCTTATGACGATAAGCAGCAATGATTTCTAAACTTTACACGCTAATCCTGCACGAGACAAATGGTGCATCTCGAGTCATGGTTTTATGACGTCATGCGTTCCTGAGCATCGGTTCACACAACATACCAGAATGTTCGTTTGAGCATCGAACCAATCTAATCTCTTGAATATGAGAAAGTCTTCATATATTAACCAACATGTATGGTATTTGCGTTTCTTTTGGCGGTGAGTATATGCATGCCACTGGTATGAAACATATGTCATGTGTATAAATCTGTATGTCACTGATATAAATCTATATGTTACAAGTATGCAATCTGTATGTATCAGAATATCTGTACGTCAAGAGTAAACTATGAAATTTGTAGGTAAGGAGTAAACTATGACATATGTAAGTCAGGGGTATGCAGTATACCTATGAATATCAAAAGCATGAAGTTAATATGTCATTCACTTCAAATCTGTATGTCATTAGTTCACAAGTATTGGATGGCAAAGTTTCACCACTATACCATTGTCATGAGTAAACAACAAACACGTGTAATTGCAATACCAGGCGCATTTGGTATTAATCAAATGCACGATTTTAAGGAATAATGAAAATTAAATTGATTAATTTTTGCAATGCATGTATATGCATTTTAATCTGCTTGGTGTCAATCTGAGGCCATGGCTGCATGTGCAGTAGGACATGCATGTCGATACAGATCTGTTCGAGACAGCCAACACTGACATGCATGTCGATACAGATCTGTTCGAGACAGCCAACACTGACATGCATGTCGATACAGATCTGTTCGAGACAGCCAACACTGACATGCATGTCGATACAGATCTGTTCGAGACAGCCAACACTTACATGTATGTCGATAAAGATCTGTTCGAGACAGCCAGCACTGACATGCATGTCGATAAAGATCTGTTCGAGACAGCCAACACTGACATGCATGTCGATACAGATCTGTTCGAGACAGCCAACACTTACATGCATGTCGATACAGATCTGTTCGAGACAGCCAACACTGACATGCATGTCGATACGGATCTGTTCGAGACAGCCAACACTGACATGCATGTCGATACAGATCTGGTCGAGACAGCCAACACTGACATGCATGTCGATACAGATCTGTTCGAGACAGCCAACACTGACATGCATGTCGATACAGATCTGTTCGAGACAGCCAACACTGACATGCATGTCGATACAGATCTGTTCGAGACAGCCAACACTTACATGCATGTCGATACAGATCTGTTCGAGACAGCCAGCACTGACATGCATGTCGATACGGATCTGTTCGAGACAGCCAACACTGACATGCATGTCGATACAGATCTGTTCGAGACAGCCAACACTGACATGCATGTCGATACAGATCTGGTCGAGAAAGCCAACACTGAATGCATGACAACCGAGTATAGATGTACATTTGAGATATATATATATATAAAGATCTGGTATGGATATGTATATTTGAGATGTACCCTGGCTAGATGCGACTCAGATTACGCGCCTGTGTAAGTGTGCTGGCGAAGAATATCAATAAGAACAGCAATATATCAGTGACATCATGCTGTGACAGCTTTCGTGGTAGACAATGTGAGAAAAGTGACGACGGTCGAAAAAAGCTTTCCAGTGCAGTGAGAGTTTGATTGTCATTCTAGAAGTTGGTGAGAAAGTAAGAGAGCGTACAATTTATTGACAACAACTTCTGTTTTATTGCATATGGGGCCGTTTCGATGTAGATTCTTACACCGTTATCAAGTTGGACTGGTGATGGTCTTGCTACTGAGGCTGACAACTGTCTTCCACTCCAGCTTGATAACGGTGTAAGAATCTACATCGAAAAATCGCTATATGCAATAAACCAGGAGCTGTTATCCATAAAGTTGAACGTTTTCTCACTTCAGCAAGGGTGCGAATATATGAGTGAGTGTTGTGCAACGCCGCTCTCATCAATAGTCCAGTTTTATATTTCAGTGATCAGTACTTATTCGCGTCTGGACCAGACCTATCAGTGACTGAAAGCCATTGCAACGATCCACGCCATTAGAGCACAATGGCGCCAATCAACCAAGGCACAGAACCTGACAATCGCTCCATATTAGTTGACTCTTACACATGAGGACGACTGTGGACCTGTCCTCACTCGGAACACCCCGGAGAACACGTCAGTGAATCTAACAAGCAACAGCATGGTGCGTTGCAGATTATGATGATACAGGTGCGTATATAATGCGAATGAAATTTCTGCTCGGATTTGCAACATTAAAACAAGGGAAGCTGGCCAAGAAATGTACCGTCAGCTTCACATATGTGTATGGAGTCCTAGAAGGGACATTATCGTGTTGTCAATATGTCGCACTGTCGCGTTGTTGATTTTTACACATTTTAGAATGGGGCGACAATGCGACAACGCGACATATTTTGACCTTGAAAAATGTCGCGTTGTCGCCCTTTGGCAAAATAAAAAAAATGTTTTTCAAAGCGAGACAAGGCGACAAATATTTTGCGTTGTCGCACTGTCGCGCTTTGGTTAATTTTGAAACTGTTTGCACGTTTCACAACTTCAGAGGTAAAATCGAACATGCTCTGTCTGTGAAGATTTCAAAGAGCGTCATGTGGCTGTTTGAGGGGTAAGTTGATAGGGACAGTGGTTCCGTCCCAAACCTTAAAAATTAAACATAGAACCCAATGATAAATTCCAAATTTCTGATGTGCACAAGATCAACAACAAAATGTAAATCACACACTGGTGGTGTAAATTCACCCCCAACTGAAGTGTTAACTGGAAAATGTGACAACCACCTCCAGATCCTAGGTGCAGTCCGAATTCCATGAAAAAACAAACATTTAACATGTAACATTCCATACAGCATGCGTGAACATCCTTACCACACCCAGCTTCATCAGATTCATCCAAGCAGTCGACCTGACCATCACACCGCCACTGTCCAGGGGTACACTCGCCGTCACATTCAAACTCTCCACTGTCACAGTCCACTGAAACAGAGGTGAGGTGAGGTGATATTGGGTTTAACGTCGCGTCCAAGATTATTGCACTTATATAGCGACGTGCATGCACGTGTATGTGTGTGTGTGGCTGCTTGTACTAGTCCGGACTGATGCCGATTTATAGTGCGATACCATGGTACCATGCCGCAGTTTAACATGAATACCCCACTCAGACACAGTATACTGACTCCGAGCCGACCAGTCCTTGTTTTAGCCCCTTAATGCCGAGCGCCAGACAGGGTAACAACAAGTACCATCTTTTAACGTCTTTTGGTATGACGCGGCTGGGGATCGAACCCCGGACCTTCCGCTCTCCGGGCGTACGCTCTACCATTAGACCACGAAGGCGGTACTGAAACAGAGAGTACCCAATTTCTACCATATCACCCGGGGTAGTATCGGAACATATTCCAACTTAAAATGACGGTGAAATATCGGGTAACAAACTGATAATATGAAATGTATCACAATTGCCATTCCTCCTCTTCACAGTCATATAGTTTTAATTAAAGTGAGTGAGGGAGTGAGTATGGTTTTACTCCGCTTTTAGCAATATTCCAGCAATATCACGGCGGGGGACACCAGAAATGGGCTTCACACATTGTACTTAATTAAAGTAATGATAATCCTGGAGACAATCAAACAGTTTAAAAAAGGACAAAAAGTTTGATTTCCATAATTATGTGAAGTCCATTGCACGATTCCGATTGTATCACAAGCATGTGTTTATGAATCGCTCTCAAATAGGGAATAATTAACGGATGATACCATGAAAACGCCGATCATTATCATTATCCATAAAACATATATGAAAATGAATGTTTCCTATATGATATGAAACCAAGGTTAATAAAAATATATACAGAAAACAATGAAAATTAAATATCAATAAATATCATAATCACTATGCATCCTATATAATCTATTGTTATTAAGATTGATTTCATTAAATTTGAGATAAATAAAATTACGAAAAAAATAATCTTGTATCCGAAATATCCTCTTTGTATTATTAAACTTTGGATAACAGCACCGAATATTATTTATACGTTGTAAAAAGTTTTGTCTTAATGTTTAAATATTTTTTTAAGAACAAGTTTCATATAAATAGGAATAATCAGATAAATACTTTATTTTACAAAATCAATATTAACCTAAATAAAGTCAGTTCTAAGGAAATCGTGATCACAGTTACGAAACTCCGTTTCCAAATAGCAGTAATACTTACATGACGTCACAACATCAAAGACAGCGGCTATGGCCAGTATATAAGCCAACCAAAGGGACACGGTACTCATTGTATCTTTATCTTTCCGATACCCAGAAACAAACTACTGATTCTCTCCGATTGTCGAGATATATCCCCCACCCTACAGCTGTGACGCATTAACAAACGATTCCCACTTACAGAAATACCACCCATTCAATTACAATATATTTGTATCTAAATGCATCCATTAACAATGCGTTGACATACAGATAAAATAGGCATTGAACGTTACTGTGATAATAAACATATATAATATAGACGTATAGTATCCGTCATTGAGTATAGGGCTGATTAGGACTATTAATTGATCTATGAAAGAGTCAATTTGTTGATATTAGTGTCATAATTATGCTGTATGTTGTAGCGTATTATGAATTATGGATTTTTTGTGGGTTATTAGCAAATACTTCCTCTGGACAGCACACGTTTGGTACATTTCTTCAGTTAAAGTACGGATTCAGATCTACCTATACCATCTGGGGATCTCAGTTTTTGTTGGTATGTGTAACAAGTCATCTTGAATATGAAATCTGGATAATCACAGAATCATTCATTTATTCAAAAATATGTATTTTCATTCCGTCATTTCCATCATATTACGACCACCAGATGAATCAACGCTTCTTAATGTTGACGAAAGACACTAACTCTATATAATGTTTGGACAAGCTTGGCACAATATTAATTCAAGGCGGTTTCAAGAAGAACCTGTTTCTCTTAAAGATGAAATATTAAAGAAACTTGAAACACCTAAGTACAAAATTAATAAAAGGTACAAATCGTTCAGGTTTGTACTTAGATACAAGTTCCAGAAGGCACCATATACCGATGATATATACACCGTTAATGTGAACTAGCCAGCGAGACTTCATTGGATACGTGACTTCATCATCCAGTTGTGACAGACACCCAATGAGTGAGTGAGTGAGTTGTGCTGTGCAGCGGTTTATATCAAAGGTTCAGCATACCATGCAAATTCATTCAAATTATTTTTGAGACACAAGGTTTTTATTTCTTGAAATGAATTAACTATCGATATGATAAGATTATCAAATACAATGTTTTGAGCGTATCCTGCCATACCGGTGCCGTGGCACCCGTCACAAACACATACAAAAGCAAGTCAATTTTCCCCCTAAAATCACTGAAACATGTAGAACATGTCAAAGTAGGGAACAAATGCACGCTTGCATCATCGTTTAAACTATTCTTCTTAACGTTTCATTAACAGGTATAATGAATAAGATGGACAAGAGACCTCCGTGGTCTAGTGGTAGAGCGTCCGCCCGGCCGCGTCATACCAAAAGACGTTAAAAGATGGTACTTGTTGTTACCCTGTCCGGCATTAAGGGATTTAAACAAGGACTGGTCGGCTCGGAGTCAGTATACTGTGTCTGAATGGGGTATTCATGTTAAACTGCGGCATGGTATCTCAGTGGGCTAGCACAATAAATCGGCATCAGCCCGGACTAGTACAAGCAGCCACACAAACACACCTACACGTGCATGCACGACGCTATATAAGTGCAATAATCTTGGACGCGACGTTAAACCCAATTTCACCTCACATCACCAGATGGACAAGATCCATGCGAATAGATTCAAGCAACCATCCTTATGGTTTGGGTATGATGACACACTGTATCAACCAGCACACTACTAAGAGTAGGCCACCATTTGTGTTATATTCACTGAACAGACATTGTTGCCATCCGATCAACTATTGTGCTACCGGGTTTATCTTGAGCCTACTTACCAAGGAATACCCTATAGTATCTGTTATTGCCACGTATCACTGAAGAGGAAACAGCATTGAAGCCTGTCGTTCAGAGATATTACAGGTGACACGCTATTTCTAATTAATACTAGTTATCATACAATTAATCTTGATATCTTCATCCACCATGTGTAACTGTTCTTTAAAAACTTAACATGAAACGAATACAAAAGCAGTGAGCATAAACATAAACTTCATAATAAATTATATATAAAAATAGTTAATTCATTATAAATTTGGTAAATAAATAAAACTATTAAATAACTACTGTTAAATGTGAACGTTTCTATTTGAAATTCTTTGTTCACTTGTACAAATTCTCTTCATAATCATTGTTATGTCCACCCGATCGATGCTGTAGAACTTAAAAAAGGTGTACGAAATGCAGTGAGCCGGCCACAGTACACAGCCCGGATTATGGCTAGAAGAGATAGATTTACCGCGAGACAGTCTATCGCATGTCTACCTATACCCACTTTCTGAAACTGATAGTCACGAACTTTAATCCCCGCGTCCTTGTTCTCACTTGCTGGCTGAGACAATCTGCTATCTTCCAGTGGTGTGATGTTATCATGGCTGATTCCTTTTACATAGATCTGGTTCGAGCCACGTCATTTGAATCCACGTCACCGAAGTTCTGAAGGGCCAGCCCGCAATTTTAATTACGTGTCGTACACTTTCATTGAGAGCTTTGGACACCATTATCGCGAAGGTGAGTGCGTGGGTATCTAAGGGGCCGGCAATTTCATATTTGGGGTGTTTCCCTTGGATTTTATCGAATACATTGTCTCAGATAATGCTTAAAAAATAATTATGCTTCAAACTGTTGAAAACATTTGGCCCCCAATATCAAATAGTCGTCCCTTATGCAAGTGTAATGTATATATCATAAACAAATTCTGAGCATGATCCATAATGAACATGGTCCTTTGATAACTAACGGTTGACAGAATTGCTATACACGTATCATGATGACCATGTAGTACGCTCATATGCCTCATGTAAAAGTGTTTTATACACTACAACAGAATATTTGATGGCAATATATTCTTTACATTGGGTTGTATGCAAATCTTCTGTATGACAATGTATTGTGTGACACTGCACCGTGTGGCAAATTATTGTATACATTGTATTTCATGGTAATATGTTCTTTACATTGGGTTGTATGCAAATGTGCTGTATGACAATGTATTGTGTGACACTGCGTCGTGTGGCAAATTACTGTATACATTGTATTTTATGGTAATATGTTCTTTACATTGGGTTGTATGCAAATCTTCTGTATGACAATGTATTGTGTGACACTGCGTCGTGCGGCAAATTATTGTATACATTGTATAATTGCATTGCAATGTGTTGTGTACAATGTGTTGTATGGCAATGTTCCCTGTGGCAGTGTGTTGTATTGAATGTGTTGTATTGAATGTGTTGTATTGAATGTGTGGTATTGAATGTGTGGTATTGAATGTGTGGTATTGAATGTGTTGTATTGAATGTGTTGTATTGAATGTGTGGTATTGAATGTGTTGTATTGAATGTGTGGTATTGAATGTGTTGTATTGAATGTGTTATATTGAATGTGTGGTATTGAATGTGTTGTATTGAATGTGTTGTATTGAATGTGTGGTATTGAATGTGTGGTATTGAATGTGTTGTATTGAATGTGTTGTATTGAATGTGTGGTATTGAATGTGTGTATTGAATGTGTGGTATTGAATGTGTTGTATTGAATGTGTGGTATTGAATGTGTTGTATTGAATGTGTTGTATTGAATGTGTTGTATTGAATGTGTTGTATTGAATGTGTTGTATTGAATGTGTTGTATTGAATGTGTGGTATTGAATGTGTTGTATTGAATGTGTGGTATTGAATGTGTGGTATTGAATGTGTTGTATTGAATGTGTGGTATTGAATGTGTTGTATTGAATGTGTTGTATTGAATGTGTGGTATTGAATGTGTGGTATTGAATGTGTGGTATTGAATGTGTTGTATTGAATGTGTTGTATTGAATGTGTGGTATTGAATGTGTTGTATTGAATGTGTTGTATTGAATGTGTTGTATTGAATGTGTGGTATTGAATGTGTTGTATTGAATGTGTTGTATTGAATGTGTTGTATTGAATGTGTGGTATTGAATGTGTTGTATTGAATGTGTTGTATTGAATGTGTTGTATTGAATGTGTGGTATTGAATGTGTTGTATTGAATGTGTGGTATTGAATGTGTTGTATTGAATGTGTTGTATTGAATGTGTTGTATTGAATGTGTTGTATTGAATGTGTGGTATTGTGTGTGTGGTATTGAATATGTGGTATTGAATGTGTGGTATTGAATGTGTGGTATTGAATGTGTGGTATTGAATGTGTCGAATGTGCAGGTATGGTATTGGGTATGCGAAAGACCCTCTTTGATGGTCGGAGTGTTTGGTACGTGCGTTTAATGTAGGTTTTATGTTTAGGATATGCATAATGCAGTTTCGAATAAATTCAGACAATCAAGTTCTAAAAACAGGAAGTGGTCCTTATCTTGTTATGATGAACAGTTTCAATGGCATACACAATGCGATTTTGAATTGGGGCCAGATATTGTTTCAGCTGCAGCTGCAAAACCAGATAATATTCTTTAAATAAAACTTTGTCCCAATATATATATATATATATATTTATTTTTTTTATCATATATATTAAAGTAAAACACACATTGCATTTGCAACACTGTAATTTCTGTGGCAGGCAATTCTTTTATTCCAACAGTATGAAGCATAAGTAAGGATAAGATATATGGATGAACAACTTACTTATTACAATTAGGAGCGACGTTTCGATGTAGGTTTTAACACCGTTATCACTTCCTTGATAGAACCTACACCGAAACGTTCATCCATATATCGTATCCTTACTTAGCACTCCAACTTCTAAATGCCTCTCAAAGAAGATATATGAAGCATATGATTTTTTCAAGAATTACGGGGACATATTTAAAATATATATATATATATATATATATATATCAAAAGGATGGCCCCCTAACCAGCTTTTTGACCATGATACCATTATTAACAAGCCACCATGATGTATCTGGAATATTTCTCTTTCTCTAACCCATACACTGTTTTTTTCCAGATCTTCTTCACAGTCCACGGCCACAATCGCCGGTTAGTGTTGTAACAATGAACGTGGTCGTATTCCGTAAGCCTCTTGTATACATTCTTCTCGGTGCCGCCTTCCTGGTTCTGTTCGGCCGGTATGTCCGCCCCGGGAGGCTAGTCATTAGGGCTACAGGTCTCTTCAGTCGCAGTCTGGGGGATTACTATGCCATGGATGAACACTCTCTAGAGACCCCATCCGATGCGGTCGGACCAGCAGAGCTCAACCTGACCAACACAAATCTACGTAATCTAACCCAGGTTTCAAGCCTCTTTGCTCAACACAAACATAAGACTACTGTTAAACCTGTACTCGTTCTGTTTACGACCTGGGACAGTCGCGCTGGCAATGACACTGCGAAAAGGAATGTTCTGAAGAACTGGAGCTGGCTGAAGCCTGAGGTCATTCCAGTGCTACTTACATCAGACCCAGATGCAAAAACGGAGGCTTTGCTATACGGCTGGCATTCTTATAATGTCACCGAGAGAAGCTGTTCGCCCAACTCCAAACCGACCTTAAAGTCTATGTTCCAAACAATCACACACCACTACCGCAATAAAATTAAACTACAGGCTTTTGCTACTGGTGACATGTTGTTCGACGAAAGCATCGTATCGACCTTCCAGGCTTTCATTCGTGATAACCGTGTCACCGCAAAGAAATCATTTGCGGTACTTGGGAAACGAACCGATGTGCTTCTGAAACGTGGAGTTGAGATGGGTAGTCTCTTAGACGTGCGGCAAATGTCCCGCCAAGGACATTTCGCGAAGGACGGGTTATCGGGACTATTTGTTACCAACCACATCTTCCCATGGGATCGTCTTCCTGCTGTTAATGGGGCTCTACCTGGCGTATTTGAATGGATTGGAGTCTTTTGTTCGCATCACTATGTCCCTCTTTATGACATAACCGCCACTACTCTGTCCGTTCACATCACAACACAACCAACAGCAGCGCAGTTGAACTTGATGGCTTGTAATAAAGATATCATATTCAAAAGTGGCCCGCATCCACCGGACAACCACTGTGGACATACAGAGTGCATTGCCACGCGCTCGATGTCGTCCACTGGAGGGCAGATTCTATTTCAGGAATTATCGGCACTACCAAAGAGCTGTGATGACTGTTGGAGGTAGTTCGTATTGCTGTTCGTGTCAGTGTTAGCTCAGGATGTACACGCCGATGATTTCCGAAAGCCACCTGAATTAACTGACATGGTCATACTACGTGATAATCTTTATTGTAATGTTAAGTAAGAGAAAGGGGAAACGGGCTGTAGCTTATTGACATATCTTATATATACAGTAAACCACGGTTATAACGAACTCACTAATTTTAGCTCGTTATAACCGTAGTTCATTATAATCATATATACAATATATATACAGCAAATGCCCGGGACCCCCAAAACAGTACGTTATATCAGTCAGTTCGTTATAAGAGTGTTGGTTATAAACGTAGTTTACTGTAATTTGTTTCCCAATAATGTACTTTCACGAATTCTCGGGGCGGTCGGGTAGCCCAGTGGTCAAAGCGTTCGCTCGTCACGCCGAAGATTCGGGTTCGATTCCCGACATGGATACAGTGTGCGAAACCTATTTCGCCGTGATATTGCTGGAATATTGCTGGGATATTGCTTAACCATACACGTGCAGCACACACCTCACACATCAAAGTTCTTATGCACATCTGTCGTGATGCAAGGTGAAGACCATGAGATGCAATAACGAAGTCTAATGGACAAATATGTATTTGCTTTGATCTTTGTCTCGGGTTTCCGGAACCTTGTTCAAATATATGTTTCAACGTGACAGTTTTAATGTCATGCCCTGTTTCGAAAGAACATAAAAGGTCATTAGCATAGGTTCAGTTAAGAGTTCAAACTTGGAAAACCTGATATTACAAAGAGAAGTCCATGTTTTATGTTGGGGGCTGGCTTTAAGAACAATCCAAGCGGTTTTTTAGGTTTCTAAAAATCAACTTTAAACACCTTAATACGAAAACGTCCTATTTCATTTAACTTATCGTCATTTTCGACTAGACTAAATCAAGAAATAACATGGACTGTGAAACATTATGACTTTTGTCCATCTTTTGACTTGGCTATAGGTATCGAGTCCTGGTCCATTTCGATTGCTTTAGAAACTCACCGGTGTATGGTTACGAGTGATTATTATTAAGATAGAAAGTTGCATGATCCATGGTGTAAGACAATACTCTTGTGTGTTCGGCAGAATGTGCCAACCAAGCCGTGACAAGCGGTGGCCGGAGGAGGCCAGGCGCATATCGGTTCCTGTAGTGAGTGAGTGAGTGAGTGAGTGAGTTGGGTTTAACGCCGCTTTTAACAGTATTCCAGTTATATCGAGGCGTGTCAGCTTAATGTGGGAGGAAAGCCCGAAGAGATGCAGGTCTCAGACGTTTACCACTTCGGTGAAACCCACGAGCACGGGTATGGTGCTGACAAACCTAGAAACATAATCGGGGCGAACCGGGATTCGAACCCACAATCACAGGTTTCTGGCTGCCCAGCGGATGCAACTCTGCACAGCGAATCGCGGCGCCTTAGACGACTGGGCCACCCGTGCCCCCGGTTCCTGTAGAGACGTGCGTGACGAGCGAACGCTTTAACCACTGGGCTACCCGACCGCCCCGTTCCTGTAGATGTTAATAAATCCTTACTAACAAACAACTGTAACAATCGTTGATACAACATTAAACACTCGTCAGCAACATATATGTATGTTTTATACATGAACTCAAGACACATTTCTTTCTCATAATGTCACTTATGGCGTGCAGGCAAACTTGCATAAAGCCTTGTCACTCCTACGACTATTGTAAGTCTATGTATGTCATACAGACCCTGAAATAAATATATCCAATAAAGCCCATGCAAGTTTATAATATTTAGCAAGTCTAGATTACTGCAGTATCAGGAGTGAGTCTCTGGGCTCCTATAGTTTAACAACTTTTTTTATGGAGAAAATATATTCATTTTAGGGACTAGATGTAAGTCTAGCGTAGCTGGGGAACTCGTCAAAAAGATATATGTACCGTTGACATCAACTCAAGACACATTTATTTCTCATAACGTCCCTATTGGCGACAAGGACACAAGACGAAGAACCTATGTTAGTGTTACGACTTGTTGTAAGTCTATGTGAAAGTGAAGATGGGGAACTCGGCCCATGTAGACCATGCATACATACGTCAGTGAGATTGCATTGGTGATAGAGCAAAAGCCTTAGAGGGCTGGTGTCAACAGGGCAATGGCTGCCAATCATAGACTGGAACTGGTAGTCTCTTGTAACCACATTATGTTTCTGTATGTTATGCCCCTTACACACAGATAACCAAACTGTCAAACTGGGCCAGTTAACTGAGCCCGGTTCAAGAAAGCGATCTTAGTACTAAGACGGTCGTAACTCTCGTCACTAAAATTGCTGCGTGGACCGGAGCCTTAATCACTGACAAATAAACTGCCGGCAAAAGATAGTATTCGTCAAAATGTTTGAAGATGGCTAAAAAATGAAACAATAAAGAAATGGTGATGTATTTGATTCGGGAATCTAGTTGTGTTTTGGACATTAGCTTTGCAGTGTTTCGGTGACTGTTTTCGGCCTAGTAATGTTTTGATAAGGTTTGTTTCGTCAAATCCAGTTTTCAAATTTATGCTTTCTCTTGCCCGAATCTGTGCATTTCCTTCACCCAAGATCTCTTTGTCGTCGGTTCGAATCCCAGATTGCCACCGATTATGATCCTTGATGTAACAGCACCATGCCAGTTATCGAGGGGCTGTCGGGTAGCCTAGTGGTTAAAGCGTTCGCTCGTCACGCAGACGACCCGGGTTCGATTCCCGACATGGGCACAATGTGTGAAGCCCATTTCCGGTGTCCCCCGCCGTGATAATTGTTGGAATATTGCTAAAAGCGGCGTAAAACCATACTCGCCATATCGTGGGTTTTGTAAGTCTTAGTCCTGCGTCAATGTGGACCTTTCTCCCATATAGGCTGACACACTAGCTGTAATTGAAATACTGTTGATGGGGTGTTGAACCCAAACCACAGACAGCCATCGGCTCGAAAGTTAAAACTAAGAATGAATAGGAGCCTTCGAGATACACCTGGTTGCTTCATAATCGACTAACCATTTGTTCAACTGAAGTCCAGGGAAATGATGAAGCATCAACCTTATTCAACTTTTATGCATAGCGATATAACTAGACCGCCTCCGTGGTCTAGTGTAAAGCGTCTGCCCTGAGAGCGGAAGATCGGAGGTTCGATCCCTGGCCGCGTCATACCAAAACGACGTTAAAAGATGGTACGTGTTGTTACCCTGCCTTTCGCTTGCCAGTAAGGGGCTAAATAATAATCTTGAACGCGACGTTAAACTCCATTTCACCTCAACCCCACATCACCGATATAATAAAAAAAATTAAGAACAATTTCCCTGCACACTGAAGATGGATTCATGATACAGGACAGGACTTTGATTGAAGTCTAACTTATTTTCATAAGTTTTCAGTCGAAACATTTGGCTAACTTTTCCGGGTAGTGATTAACACTTAACATATTGCTCAAGTATACCGTAGTTCAGAAAGAGAAACCATGACATAATGTAGGACTTGAGCAGTTTCCTCAACAAGCAATCAAATGCAAGTTTATAGTTACAAACACTCCCCAGCTAGAAACAAGTGTCATGGCTTCATGTTTCAAGTAAGTGCAGTTATCAAACAATGAGGATGGGCTCAGGATGTTTTGTTAATTTCTTTATGCTTGTGTTGGCATAAAACTTTATTTTGGACTACTTGTACTTTGGTGTACTTGTGTTCAGTGGGTTCTTCTCTCATTTTCGCCATAACACGTTTTGTTTGTATATTTGTTTGTTGTTTAACGCAATACTCAGCAATATTACAGCGACATGACGGCGGTCTGTCAGTATTCGAGTTTCGACCAAACGACCAGCGAGCCTGACCACCCGACTCCGTTTGTTTCCTCTTATGACCAGCATGGGTTGCAGAAGACCAATTCTATAGCGGATTTTCACGGGGCATGATACGTTTCGAGCACGTTTATCAGCAATAAGTATTGGACATTGGGAAGTATGTATGCTTGGATTCCACGTATATCATCGACAAGTATTGGACATTGGGGATGTATGTATGCTTGGATTCCACGTATATCATCGACAAGTATGGGACACTGGGGATGTATCTAGACTTGGATTCCACGTCTATCATCGACAAGTATGGGACAGTGGGGATGTATTTATGCCTGGATTCCACGTATATCATCGACAAGGACGGGAAACTGGGAAATATGTATGCCTAGATTCAAGGTATATCATCGACAAGTATGGAGCACTGAGTACGCATGTATGACTGGATTCGACGTACATCATCGACAAGTATGGGAAACTAAGGACGTATGTATGCTTGGATTCCACGTATATCATCGACAAATATTGGACACTGGGGATATATGTATGCCTGGATTCCAAGTATATCATCGACAAGTATAGGGCACTGGGGACGCATGTACATGTGTGCCTGGATTCCACGTATATCATCGACAAGTATGGGACACTGGGGATGTATCTATGCCTAGATTCCACGTATATCATCGACAAATATTGGACACTGGGGATGTATCTATGCCTAGATTCCACGTATATCATCGACAAATATTGGACACTGGGGATGTATCTATGCCTAGATTCCACGTATATCATCGACAAATATTGGACACTGGGGATGTATCTATGCCTTGATTCCACGTATATCATCGACAAGTATGGGGCACTGGGGACGCATGTATGCCTTGATTCCACGTATATCATCGACAAGTATGGGACACTGGGGACGCATGTATGCCTTGATTCCACGTATATCATCGACAAGTATGGGGCACTGCAGCTGGGGACGCATGTATACCTTGATTCCACGTATATCATCGACAAGAACGGGGCACTGGGGACGCATGTATGCCTTGATTCCACGTATATCATCGACAAGTATGGGACACTGGGGACGCATGTATGCCTTGATTCCACGTATATCATCGACAAGTATGGGACACTGGGGACGCATGTATGCCTTGATTCCACGTATATCATCGACAAGTATGGGACACTGGGGACGCATGTATGCCTTGATTCCACGTATATCATCGACAAGTATGGGACACTGGGGACGCATGTATGCCTTGATTCCACGTATATCATCGACAAGTATTGGACATTGGGGATGTATGTATGCTTGGATTCCACGTATATCATCGACAAGTATGGGACACTGGGGATGTATCTAGACTTGGATTCCACGTATATCATCGACAAGTATGGGACAGTGGGGATGTATTTATGCCTGGATTCCACGTATATCATCGACAAGGATGGGAAACTGGGAAATATGTATGCCTAGATTCAAGGTATATCATCGACAAGTTTGGGGCACTAAGAACGCATGTATGCCTTGATTCCACTTATACCATCGACAAGTATGGAGCACTGAGTACGCATGTATGACTGGATTCGACGTACATCATCGACAAGTATGGGAAACTAAGGACGTATGTATGCTTGGATTCCACGTATATCATCGACAAATATTGGACACTGGGGATATATGTATGCCTGGATTCCAAGTATATCATCGACAAGTATGGGACACTGGGGATGTATCTATGCCTAGATTCCACGTATATCATCGACAAATATTGGACACTGGGGATGTATCTATGCCTAGATTCCACGTATATCATCGACAAATATTGGACACTGGGGATGTATCTATGCCTAGATTCCACGTATATCATCGACAAATATTGGACACTGGGGATGTATCTATGCCTAGATTCCACGTATATCATCGACAAGTATGGAGCACTTGGGACACATGTATGCCTTGATTCCACGTATATCATCGACAAGTATGGGACACTGGGGATGTATCTATGCCTAGATTCCACGTATATCATCGACACGTATGGGGCACTGGGGACGCATGTATGCCTTGATTCCACGTATATCATCGACAAGTATGGGGCACTGGGGACGCATGTATGCCTTGATTCCACGTATATCATCGACAAGAATGGGGCACTGGGGACGCATGTATGCCTTAATTCCACGTATATCATCGACAAGTATGGGACACTGGGGACGCATGTATGCCTTGATTCCACGTATATCATCGACAAGTATGGGACACTGGGGACGCATGTATGCCTTGATTCCACGTATATCATCGACAAGTATGGGGCACTGGGGACGCATGTATGCCTTGATTCCACGTATATCATCGACAAGTATGGGACACTGGGGACGCATGTATGCCTTGATTCCACGTATATCATCGACAAGTATGGGACACTGGGGACGCATGTATGCCTTGATTCCACGTATATCATCGACAAGTATGGGGCACTGGGGACGCATGTATGCCTTGATTCCACGTATATCATCGACAAGAATGGGGCACTGGGGACGCATGTATGCCTTGATTCCACGTATATCATCGACAAGAATGGGACACTGGGGACGCATGTATGCCTTGATTCCACGTATATCATCGACAAGAATGGGACACTGGGGACGCATGTATGCCTTGATTCCACGTATATCATCGACAAGTATGGGACACTGGGGACGCATGTATGCCTTGATTCCACGTATATCATCGACAAGTATGGGACACTGGGGACGCATGTATGCCTTGATTCCACGTATATCATCGACAAGTATGGGACACTGGGGACGCATGTATGCCTTGATTCCACGTATATCATCGACAAGTATGGGAAAATGTGGTCCCATGTATTCCTGGATTCCACGTCGACGAGTATGCACCATATATATGAGTGTTGATGTGTGTAATCATTGACTATCAATATTGTTGCTGATGTTTCTTATCATAGATTATTTAATATTGATGTGAAAATAAACCATGAATACAGCTGTTAGTGTTTGTAAATATCAAATATATAATTGCCTATGTTAAGTATAAAACACGTCCCATTTTAATTCTGGAAACCCAAAAGTCCAGAAACTCTACGCTCTTTGCCCAGTCTCGGTTAAAGGTATTTACAAAATTAAACATGCCGTTTTCATGGGAACATACCAAGGAAGAAAAAATGAAAAAAAAATTGTTTAAAAACTCAATATTTAGACTATGTCGCCCATGGGCCTGCCCATGGGCGAAGTGTGGCCCATGGGCCTGCCCATGGGCGAAGTCTGGCCCATGGGTAGGCCCATGGGCGAGAATATGTTCCTTTACTTAAAACTCATGTTTTTGTTTCGCAAATACATTTAATGTATTCATTCAAGTATCATGACACAAAATTTAATTCATTTTAACTTAATTCAACGATTTTATAACGATATTCAAATATTTCGCCCATGGGCGAGAAAAAGGTTTGGCCCATGGGCGAGAATATGTTCCTGTACTTAAAACTCATGATTTTGTTTCGCAAATACATTAAATGTATTCATTCAAGTATCATGACACAAAATTTAATTCATTTTAACTTAATTCAACGATTTTATAACGATATTCAAATATTTCGCCCATGGGCGAGAAAAAGGTTTGGCCCATGGGCGAGAATATGTTCCTGTACTTAAAACTCATGATTTTGTTTCGCAAATACATTAAATGTATTTATTGAAGTATCATGACACAAAATTTAACTCATTTTAACTTAATTCAACGATTTTATAGCGATATTGAAATATTTCGCCCATGGGCGAGAAAAAGGTTTGGCCCATGGGTAGGCCCATGGGCAGGCCCATGGGCGAGAATATGTTCCTTTACTTAAAACTCATGTTTTTGTTTCGCAAATACATTAAATGTATTTATTGAAGTATCATGACACAAAATTTAACTCATTTTAACTTAATTCAACGATTTTATAGCGACATTGAAATACTTCGCCCATGGGCGAGAAAAAGGTTTGGCCCATGGGTAGGCCCATGGGCAGGCCCATGGGCGAGAATATGTTCCTTTACTTAAAACTCATGTTTTTGTTTCGCGAATACATTAAATGTATTTATTTAAGTATCATGACACAAAATTTCACTCATTTTAACTTAATTCAACGATTTTATAGCGATATTGAAATATTTCGCCCATAGGCGAGAAAAGGGTTTGGCCCATAGGCGAGAATATTTTCCTTTACTTAAAACTTATGTCTTTGTTTCGCAAATACATGCAGGTGTTCTTACTATTTTCATGGCACATAATGTAACTCAATTTTACTCAATTCAGCTATTTTACAGATTTATTGAAATATTTCGCCCATGGGCGAGAAAAGGTTTTGCCTTCGAAATCCTTGATTATTATATCATGCCAGAGTTCTGAAATTCAGTGACAATGCTGTTGAACAGTAGAATCTGATTGACGTATTGTGCAGAACCTGTTTGACACTATGGGTTCCAGGACCACTAACACTCTGAGCTGAAAAAGTTTGGTCCCAACCGCACCCAACATCTTTAATGAACCCGGCCTTATCTCTCAAAACGTTTTGGCAGTTTATCATACGAATTCATGTGCGTGTACAACATTAAATTTTAGTTAGTTTCTATTTCATTTCCCATTTTATGACCCGTTGATACATCCCACTGTGCAATTACGTGACAGGTACGCGTGCGCGTATTTTAATGGAAAGAAACTATTCGTCTTTTATTGCATAACGTTTGGCTGAATATCTTACATTCTAAC